ATGTATTTAAAAAATCTAGTTTTTTTTTTCATAAACATCTTTTCAGATGTTAACGATTTAGCGAAACAATTCAGTGAAAGTCGTCTATGATGTTAATGTAAAAAAAACACCCGACGACATCATTCAGGTCAGATGGATCAACAAAACAACGACCCGTAGTGGGGAGTAAAGTCGCTGTTAAAAGCTGTTACAACAAATATCACGTGTTAGCAAGTGATGGTAAACACAAGAACTTGCTACACGAAATAGACTGATTTGTTCTTGCGTGTTTACAGTCCTGCTCTGTTTGCTGGTCCAAAGCCAGGGCGCCCCGCGACAGATGCTCCTCCAGTACACGTCGGTGGCGCCGTGTGATGAAACCTGCCCCAGGAATGCTAAGGTCACGTGCAAGTAGGTACCTACTCCCCTCAGTCCCCTGTCATCCATTTATGTTGTCCACGTGGGGTGGGAGGGGAGACATGAACACTCGACTTTGTAGACTCGTGTGTATTAAGGAGGAGGGATTTCGCCCTAAATGGACGTAAGGACATGAGGGAAAGATGCCATAATATTCTTCATTTTAAAAAAAAAATTGTGTGAACTCCTTAAACTACTTATACCACTTCTTCATTTAAAATTTAATAGATTTGTATTTTTCACCCAGGTAAGGGCAGTAAGGCTAGTTTTATAGTACACGTATTATAATTCTTGCTGCAACATTAGAGTTACCTCCCCTGAGTAAAAAAAACCCCAACAACTTTAGATAGGGGTTCCAAATATATGAGAAATATTTTAAAATATTAGGCCTAATTATGGAGTTTATACCCTTTCCTTTATTTTTGTTAAATGTTATGTAAGCTTATCAAATACTATTTCAAGTTATTTATACTGTCTAAACTATATAAACCTCTGGCACTAGTTCAACTAATTCTTTCGCGCCTATTTTTAAAGATCGGAATATTTGCAAATTGACACAAATACGCGGACAACTCTCATAGAATTTTTTTGGACGCAAAATTCCCCTTTAGATAACGTCATATTGGCTAACACTACCGTATCCTTCTTGAGAACCTACTTTCTGCCACCCACCCACAACAACCAGTGGCGTAGATAGGGGAGGGCGGGTGGGGCGGCCGCCTCGGGCGCCGACTCCTAAGGGGGCGCCAAAAAGGGTTCAAAAAAGTTCATTTTAAGTAGCGGTATTGAATTATAAATACAATTGTACATCAATTGTGAGGCACCACATTAGAAACATTTAAGGATAGTGACTGGTTAAAAGCGCCACCTATCTTTCGAAATGAGTGTGTGGGGGGGGGGGGGGGGATTCACTAACTTGAATAACTATATATATATATATATATATATATATATATATATATATATATATATATATATATATATATATATATATATATATAATGAGCGTGAGGGGCGCAAAATGGATGGTTCGCCCAGGGCGTCGGAATGGGTCGCTACGCCAATGACAACAACATTAAGGCCTATATTTAAAAAAAAACAAAACAAAGAACAACAACAACCAAATTAACTAAGACGTAAATTATATATGCTGATCATATAATTCGCATGAAGTAGCATACATCTATAATAGAAGTCAGATTAGTGGGGGTGGGGAAGGGACAGGATTTATGTTAAGCTTTTCCTCCGTGAGCAAGGTATGACGGTGATCACCTCCGATAATTGATGTCGGGAAGTACATTTTAAAATAAGTTGCTCTACGAAAAAAACCCTGATACATTTGAACTACTGTTTTACAGACTAGATTACCTCTACCCAAATGACATTTGAAGTACTGTTTTACAGACTAGATTACCTCTACCCAAATGACATTTGAAGTACTGTTTTACAGACTAGATTGCCTCTACCCAAATGACATTTGAACTACTGTTTTACAGATTAGATTACCTCTACCCAAATGACATTTGAAGTACTATTTTAACAGATTAGATTACCTCTACCCAAATGACATTTGAACTACTGTTTTACAGATTAGATTTCCTCCACCCAAATGACATTTGAACTACTGTTCTGTTTTACAGACTGGATTGCCTCTACCCGAATGCCGATGGAACTTCGGGTACGGATTGTGTCAATCATTTCTACGACGAAAACAACAACATATACTTCTGCTGGATGTAAGGCGGCTCGTCCTCTGCTACAGGAGCAGGTTCCCTACCACCAGGACGCCAGACTGTATTAAAACTTACACAATGATTGATGTACCGACTTACTTAGTGTTTTAATACGCTGCCTACGTGAATGTTTATAAGAGAGTTTGATAATTTATTGTTGATATCTTACGGTGACATGGCAACAGAGAAGCATTAAGAAAGCGATATCAGACGCACTATGTCGTAGAGTTAAGCGAGTAAACAAGAACAGCACACAAAAAACCTCGATAAAAGGTAAATGAACGTACCGAGGCGAGATGGACCTGGTATGGTACTCGCGTGGTTAGGTAAAAGGTGAGCAGGTCAGGTAAATGGTGAGTCGGTCAGGTAAATGGTTAGCTGGTCAGGTAAATGGTGAGCTGGTCAGGTAAATGGTGAGCTGGTCAGGTAAATGGTGAGCCGGTCAGGTAAATGGTGAGCTGGTCAGGTAAATGGTGAGCTGGTCAGGTAAATGGTGAGCCGGTCAGGTAAATGGTGATCCGGTCAGGTAAATGGTGAGCCGGTCAGGTAAATGGTGAGCCGGTCAGGTAAATGGTGAGCCGATCAGGTAAATTGTGACCTGGTCAGGTAAATGGTTAGCTGGTCAGGTAAATGGTGAGCTGGTCAGGTAAATGGTGAGCCGATCAGGTAAATGGTGAGCTGGTCAGGTAAATGGTGACCTGGTCAGGTAAATGGTGAGCCGGTCAGGTAAATAGTGAGCTGGTCAGGTAAATGGTGAGCCGGTCAGGCAAATGAATGTGGTAAATTGGACATGGGCAGGAGTCGAACATATTTTTTATCAACTTCGTCGTAATAGATATGCTTCTACAAATTTGTGGGTGGGGTTTTAATCTAAACTTGTAGAGGCCCAATTCTAATGGAGCGGTTTCTTTCTAACTTTCCAAACAACCGGATATTCAGTGACAACTGACAACGCAAGAGTATCTCAGTAAATTTGTTATTTATATATATATATATATATGTAACTAGGGGAAGTTACCAGAGACATAAGAACGCAGTACAGCGCTGTCAACTTTGACACGACTGTTGTAATAACGCAGGTGTTGGCTGATAACGATCAGAAAGCCAAGGCGTAGTATCTTGGGAAGCGATACGATAAGAACGCAATACGGTCTGTCAACTTTGATGTGACAGGATGCAGATGGCTTATTAAATCGGACTGTACGACAGAAGCGGCGTAATTAACATTCTGATGCAACGATTAGAATCGATTACGATTACGATTATGATAGAACCGAATACGATTACGAATACGAAGGGGATATATAGGAAGGCGACGGCTGAGATCTGGGGCTCTCTCTCGATCAGTCAGTCAGTGAGGCAGTATCAAGTTGGTTATTGAACGGGTTAGCCGTATTGTGTTAAGAAGGACGATAGACATGTGCATTCAGTTATGTGAAGACTAGTGAGGACTGTTGGGGGTCAGTTGATTCAGACTATTATTGTGAAGCATTCCTTTTGATTCATTATATTATTGTGAAGCATTTCTTTGATTCATGTAATAAAAGGATCAATAGCGAACCTGCATCTTCGAGTATCTATACTGTGGTCGATGTTGTGTAGAATGAGTGGTTAGACTCGTTAACATTTGGCACTACAGGCAAATAGTCTCGTTACATATATATATATATATTTATATATATATATATATATATATATATATATATATATATATATATATATATATATATATATATATATATATACATACATGTGTGTTTGTGTGTGTTTTTGAGTATAGCATATTGTCGCGACAATCCGAACAGCCGTCCCCATTTTAGTGACGTCGCTTATGGCCAACCTTCGAGGTATGCCATCCCATACCATATATCACGTGACCTTAAATAGTTTTAGCTTAAACCTATCACAGTGGCTACATGTTAGCATAAACCTATCACAGTGGTTACATGTTAGCATAAACCTATCACAGTGGTTACATGTTAGCATAGCATAAACATATCACAGTGGCTACATGTTAGCATAAACCTATCACAGTGGCTACATGTTAGCATAAACCTATCACAGTGGTTACATGTTAGCATAAACCTATCACAGTGGTTACATGTTAGCATAGCATAAACATATCACAGTGGCTACATGTTAGCATAAACCTATCACAGTGGCTACATGTTAGCATAAACCTATCACAGTGGTTACATGTTAGCATAAACCTATCACAGTGGTTACATGTTAGCATAGCATAAACATATCACAGTGGCTACATGTTAGCATAAACCTATCACAGTGGTTACATGTTAGCATAAACCTATCACAGTGGTTACATTTTATCATAAACCTATCACAGTGGTTACATGTTAGCATAAACCTATCACAGTGGCTACATGTTAGCATAAACCTATCACAGTGGTTACATGTTAGCATAAACCTATCACATTGGCTACATGTTAGCATAAACCTATCACAGTGGTTACATGTTAGCATAAACCTATCACAGTGGCTACATGTTAGCATAAACCTATCACAGTGGTTACATTTTATCATAAACCTATCACAGTGGCTACATGTTAGCATAAACCTATCACAGTGGCTACATGTTAGCATAAACCTATCACAGTGGCTACACGTTAGCATAAACCTATCACAGTGGTTACATGTTAGCATAAACCTATCACAGTGGCTACATGTTAGCATAAACCTATCACATTACAGCATAAAATCTTCAGCTATGGCATGAAAATGTCCAGACTAATTTAATGAGGTCCCTCCACGCAGTTGCCGTGAGATTAATCCTACCAATGCCAGCACACGGATTTCTGTGAATGGAGAGCGTAACAAAACAGCGCCGGTCGCTCGTTCAACTGTTGCTATTTATTCCCTCGCTGGTTACGTCAGCGCTAAACGCCAGCAGGGCGGCCGTACAAGAGGACCGTTGCCGGTCTCGCTGCCTTCCTCGATCAACAAACTCGACCGGTCACGGTTGCTTGATTCGCTGGCTCGGCCCTTAGACCGTAGAACAGAATAAACCTCTGATAGGATAGACGTCTCAGTTAGTGCGTGGATATCTAGACTTGTGGTAAGGTCACGGTGGAACAACAAATGACGTCAGGAACTTGTGCTGGGATGTACGGGACTCTGGCCACTTGACTTAGGAGACAGCATTTGGATACAGAGGTGGCCATTGCTAGCCAGTCTAGCTACTACAGGTCAGTTGGTCTATAGTGTCCACTAGATGTGCTCGTTATTCTACTGACCGCCATTCCATCCACCTATGTTCGGCGTGGCGCTCTCTCAAGGTGCTCGTTTTGCTATTGATAACCCTCCACAATAACGTTATGCTTGTTATCCAAGTGAGTCCATTATATACGGCCGTTTTGCTATTGATAACCCTCCACAATAACGTTATGCTTGTTATCCAAGTGAGTCCATTATATACGGCCGTTTTGCTATTGATAACCATCCATTATAATATTCCAGTTATCCGAGTGTGCCCTCCAATAGTTTTTTATTTTTTTATTTATTGTTTTAAAAATGACATCCTGTCATAACTAATTGAAGCAGTTGGATCTCGTTCTTAAATAAATTTCAACACTGGAACTCTAAATCCATGTGACCCGAAAAAATCCCGGTTGGCCGCTAGGAAGGCGCTTCTATAGGCATTAGTGCTTTGATTAACAATAATCATTTGTCGCTTAATTTACACAGCGCCGGTCGCGTACTTTCTCATTTTGACCGTTTTCCTTTCTACGTGGTCAGTTGCGTTTCCTCAAGTTCAGTCTCATGAGCTTCTAACTTGCAGGGTTACATACGTTACATTTATAAACACAAAGTATTTCTCCATTCACCGCAGTACTTGGCCGAAAGTTTATTTAAAGGAGGTATTGTCTACCCTACTGTTGTCGTCTTCAACTTAAAACCTCAGTCATTTATGCTGAAACGGACTGATGCAGCAGAAACATTTTAGTCAAAAATTTTAATAAAATGGCAAGTTTAACGAGATTTAGAAGCTTCTGATAATGTTTTGACAATTTATAAACTGAATTGGTGTACTCCAAAATTTGGCGTAAATGTTTATAACCCTAACGCACTGAGTGCCACACAGCGCCCATTGATTCAATTTATTCTGAACACACAGCTAGTCTAGACCGTCAGACGTTGAGAATCTTGTCTAGAATCTAGATCACTGTTAGAGATCATTCTATACACAAACAGACATCAAGACACGCTTGGGAAGATCACTGTCTTCAACACGCTTTAAAGCTTTCAATAGCAACCAATGAATGTAAGTGAAGTGAAAAATGTAACAGTTCTAGACCATGTAGCCGAACTTGTTTATACTATAACCACTATTACAGTTATTTCCTGTTAGTTTGGTTTACAACTTCAGTTAATTAATTCATACGGTTTTATGTGAATGTCTAATTAACAATTGTAATTGTGATTTATCGCATTGTTTTTGTTGTAATTTGTAATGCGGACCGTGCCTTCAGACCGCGGCCATTAGGCGTGCTTAGAAAAACTTTGCAGGGTGAAAATTGAAGTCGGGGGTGGGTCCACTTAATTTTTCCCGACCCCCTTGGACACACCCTGCCTGAACTATGTTCGCTGATATGAGAAACATAATGGCGTCCATACTGATTTATTACTTCCTCTCTTCATTGCTAGCAAGTATCTATCGCGACCAGCACCACGCCTTATTTCTTAACATATAATGACCAGCCAATCAAATTTGAATAAAGTTATTTATAATCATAGTCTAAATTTAAAATCCATGAGATAATTTATGATGGCCTACATGCGGCGTTCAATATTGAAGCAGTCGAGCCTACTCTTTATTATTTAGTATACTAAATCAAGTTAAAGCTTTCGTCTAAAAAAGAGAACAAATAAGTGCCTATGGGAAAAATAAAAAGCCGGCCATTATTTTAATACGCTCTGAAAATCTGTTTTAATATCTCCACTGGTTTGTGAACAGCGTTTTTTTTTTTTTTTTTTGGTGGACGGTTTCATTTTGGGCATTTCTCGCTTCTTTCTTGACTAGATTTCTTGGTTGCTAAGTAATCAAGCGGCCCGCATTAGCCTAGATTTATATGTCAATTATTGCCGTAGGGGTGGGGATTGGCCAGAACCGAATACAAACATAGATCTAGTACGAACTAAAATCGACATGTACTTAACAGAATGTCTAACAAAATTCCTTATAAGGTATAGTTTCCATCCTAAAGTATGTCTAATGATAGATCATAAAATCAACGCAGATTCAAGCGCATAAAATTGATAGGTTTTCAATATCAACTATTGATTTATGTATCTTTTCAACTTAATTCATGTATTGATTTTCAAAAACTACTTTGATCTTTGACCTTATTTTCTTCACACGGGAAATTTTGCAACAACATCAAAGGCCTTAGCCCGAGCCATGAATGCACGGTTTGGATTTAAAGGGGGGGGGGGGGGGGTCAACGTTAAGAAAAATATATTTTAATTAATAAAATTCCTAAATACGTTTTTTTGGGAGTGGTGTAGATTAGATGTATGCATGTTTTTCTAATTAATAAAAAAAATGCACCTGCGGAAAGGAAGAGGGTAGGTGTGGTTTAGCCTTTGATTTTTTTAATCTGTGTTATTGCGAGAATTCTCCTTTTTAAAAATGGCAGGATAAATAAGTAGCCTATAGATACAACTGACTGACGCAACTGCTTCTTATATATATATATATATATATATATATATATATATATATATATATATATATATATATATATATATATATATATATATATATATATATATATATATATTTTAAACCACTAATGAAAGCAGACCGCTCTTCTACTGACCACGTAGTGACGTCCAGAGTTAAAATCACGCGCCAATCTTTTGTCTCACAGACTAATCTATTGATTGTATCGCCCTATTCAATACAGCTTTTGTATGGTTGTTTATCGATTTATGCAACACAAAACTTTATTTCTTTCTTTAATCCATGGTCGATGTTTAGTGCGTATCACCAGAACCTAACCTAACTGTGATTAAGTTATTGTACGATTGGTAATCAAGTGTAGGGCTAAGAATATAACGAGTAAGTGAATTATAGACAGAAAGAGCTCGGCATTTGCGGTGAGTAGATCAACGAAGTTAATCTTCTTCCGCCTATCTCCTCCACATTACGCTGGGCTTATCCCACCACCATATCTTCTGTAAGCTCACCTCGGCAGATGTATAGGTAAATAAAACTTTTTAAAACCAGTTTAGTTCTTATCATCCTTTTTATGTAATAAACAATAGTTACCAGGTATAAATACTTACCTTAATTAAAAAAAAACACTTAACAAAAACAACTAGGAGACATTTTGGGGACTGGAAGGAATTAATCGCAGTTCAATTAATTTCAATGGAGAAAATTGCTTTGAGATACGAGCAATTTGACATACGAGCAATGTTACGGGGTGAATTAAACTCGTATCTCGAGGTACCACTGTTCTTGTCGTGTGAAAACAACGCAGCATGCCGGACGTCACGCAACAAAAGGACAACTTTCCAACAATAAGTCATACACCAAACGGACAATAACTGTCTACCTGTACGTCATACATCATACAGACAACTTTCTAACTCATATTGTCGTGTGAACACTGTGCAGCATGCCGTACGTCAAACAACTGTCTAAATGTACGTCATACATTAAGCGGACAACTTTCTAACTGTACCTTATTAAGCGGACAACTTTCTAACTGTACGTCATACATCAAGCGGACAACTTTCTAACTGTACGTCATACATCAAGCGGACAACTTTCTAACTGAACGTCATACATCAAGCGGACAATTTTCTAACTGTACCTTATACATCAAGCGGACAACTTTCTAACTGTACGTCATACATCAAACGGACAATTTTCTAACTGTACGTCATACATCAAGCGGACAACTTTCTAACTGTACGTCATACATCAAGCGGATAACTGTGTAACTGTACGTCACACATCAAGCGGACAACTTTACTGTACGTCATACATCAAGGGGACAACTTTCTAACTGTACGTCACACATCAAGCGGACAACTTTCTAACTGTACGTCATACATCAAGCGGACAACTTTACTGTACGTCATACATCAAGCGGACAACTTTCTAACTGTACGTCACACATCAAACAGACAACTGTCTAACTGTACGTCATACATCAAGCGGACGACTTCCCAACTCGTGTTGTTGTGTGAACACAGCGCAACATGCCTAAGGCTCGTTATTCTGTCAACATAAACCAATCACCTCCTATTGTTAGCGTGTCGAGTACCAAGTCTCGTGTTCTGCCGGGGTAGTGCTAACAATACAGTGGGGAATATTCAAACAGTTTGTAAATAGACGCCATGAGTCAATGTTTATCCTCTCATTCTTGACGTCTCCTGACCCACCCCCACATTACTTACTACTCAGCGGCATGGGCAGAAAACATACATAATTTATGACACGGAACACTTTATGGCATGTTACTACAGTAACCCTACATGTAACACTTTATGACATGTAAGTAGAGAAATGTTTACATATAGGAGCACTTTGGATATCATAACTGTAAGTGTTGCAAGTAATAACTTACTTCACACGAAGACAAAAACCCTGGCGAAAAAGATTTACGAGGTATAAATCTCAACACACAGGTTTTTATGTAAATTTTCGGGCCGGATTAGTAGGGTTTTTTTGCTGTAGACAAGTGTGTAGACCAAGTTGTCAACAACAAAACACGCCTGTCGTATCTCGTGGAAATGGTGACCAGTACAGCAGACGGCACTAACAAACAACGATTGTGTTACACTTAGAAATCATGGAAATTGGCTTTCATTGTATTGTGGAATAAACAAAGAAATAAACAGAACAACAGATGCAGACAACAGTGATGTTGATTAAACTGTGTGAGGTGGGGGGGGGGGGGGGAAGGCGATGTCAGGATTTTGGAGGAAGGAGGAAAGGTGGGGGGGGGGGGGGGGGGGATTACACACACACACACACACACAAGATAAGAATTAAGATGACCAGACAAAATATCAAATCAGAGACGTAGCGACCCTTCCCGGCGCCCGGGGACAAAGTTTTCGATTTACGCCACCCCCCCCCCCTCAACCTTTCAATTTATTTTTCCAACCCATTTTTGCGCCCCCTGAGGTCGGCGCCCGGGGACATATGTTCCCCCCCCCCCCCCGCTACTGTATCAAATAAAGACCTGTTGCAACACACCAAACAACAGCCGCTCAAACCCGGGTCCGATGGAGAGGTGTGGCTCCAGCAATTGAATACACATATGCCAGATGTAGATCCCCCTAGACTCCAAGACAGGTATTGCTGATGTATATTACTTATACAGACCCCTGTATTACCCATGCACTCAGACGGACAGTACGCCTTATTTCATGATGACTATTACTTGTACATACATTTATTACAAATACCCGTTACCTCCAATACTTACCTATCCCCTCCTCGATTGCAGCCACTTTAACCATCAAAGACCTGGGTTTGTACGAGTATCTGACGACGTACAGCTAGTCCTGTTATCGTTACTGGTTTCAACACGACGTAATCAGAACATTCATTAAAAGTTTATTTGTCAACAGAAAAATTAGCACACGAAAGGAACCACTTATTCAAAGTTTATTTGTCAACAGAAAAGTTAGCACACGAAAGGAACCACTTATGCAAAGTTTATTTGTCAACAGAAAAGTTAGCACACGAAAGGAACCACTTATGCAAAGTTTATTTGTCAACAGAAAAGTTAGCACACGAAAGGAACCACTTATGCAAAGTTTATTTGTCAACAGAAAAGTTAGCACACGAAAGGAACCACTTATGCAAAGTTTATTTGTCAACAGAAAAGTTAGCACACGAAAGGAACCACTTATGCAAAGTGTATTTGTCAACAGAACAGTTAGCACATGAACGGAGCCCCTCATTCAAAGTGTATTTGTCAACAGAACAGTTAGCACATGAACGGAGCCCCTCATTCAAAGTGTATTTATCAACAGAACAGTTAGCACATGAACGGAGCCCCTCATTCAAAGTGTATTTGTCAACAGAAAAGTTAGCACACGAACGGAGCCCCTTATTCAAAGTGTATTTGTCAACAGAACAGTTAGCACATGAATGGAGCCCCTCATTCAAAGTGTATTTGTCAACAGAAAAGTTAGCACATGAACGGAGCCCCTTATTCAAAGTGTATTTGTCAACAGAACAGTTAGCACATGAACGGAGCCCCTCATTCAAAGTGTATTTGTCAACAGAAAAGTTAGCACATGAAGGGAGCCCCTCATTCAAAGTGTATTTGTCAACAGAAAAGTTAGCACATGAACGGAGCCCCTTATTCAAAGTGTATTTGTCAACAGAACAGTTAGCACATGAACGGAGCCCCTCATTCAAAGTGTATTTGTCAACAGAAAAGTTAGCACATGAAGGGAGCCCCTCATTCAAAGTTTATTTGTCAACAGAAAAGTTAGCACATGAACGGAGCCCCTCATTCAAAGTGTATTTGTCAACAGAAAAGTTAGCACATGAAGGGAGCCCCTCATTCAAAGTGTATTTATCAACAGAAAAGTTAGCACATGAAGGGAACCTTTAATTCAAAGTGTATTTGTCAACAAAAAAGTTAGCACATGAAGGGAGCCTTTAATTCAAAGTTTATTTGTCAACAGAAAAGTTAGCACATGAACGGATCCCCTCATTCAAAGTGTATTTGTCAACAGAAAAGTTAGCACATGAAGGGAGCCCCTCATTCAAAGTGTATTTATCAACAGAAAAGTTAGCACATGAAGGGAACCTTTAATTCAAAGTGTATTTGTCAACAGAAAAGTTAGCACATGAAGGGAGCCTTTAATTCAAAGTTTATTTGTCAACAGAAAAGTTAGCACATGAACGGATCCCCTCATTCAAAGTGTATTTGTCAACAGAAAAGTTAGCATATGAAGGGATCCCCTCATTCAAAGTGTATTTGTCAACAGAAAAGTTAGCATATGAAGGGATCCCCTCATTCAACGTTTATTTGTCAACAGAAAAGTTAGCACAAAGTGCACCCCTGAACAACCCCTCTTCTGGTCGCCGTAGCACATTTTAAAGCCGTCAGCAAAACGAAGTATCAATGAAGAGACGGGAGCCTAAGATTAGCGTTACAAACCTGTCAGAGCCCTGTAACCCGTTCATCGATTACGTCCGCCAACGATACGTCCTTGCACACTCTCCGGCTAAAGACATTGACGGACTTTCAAAAGGTTTTTGATGTAGGAAACGTTGCCATTAGAAAGGCAAAGCGCTGTGGTGAATGGCTCAGTCTTGAGCTCATAAAACTAGTGCGTGTAGAGTGAGGGGGGGGGGGGGTGACTGGCCCAGCCTTGAGCTAATAAAACTAGCGCGTGTAGAGTGAGGGGGGGGGGTGAATGGCCCAGCCTTGAGCTAATAAAACTAGCGCGTGTAGAGTGGAGGGGGGGGGGATTTTCTGTCCAAATACTTATAACGAAACAAAAAATCTAATAACAAAACAGCCTCAGACCATTGCTCTTTTGAGTCTGGCGACATCATGGGATGAATCAGGCAACAAGATGTCTCCAACTATTTAGAGCAATGACTTAGCTTTCAGAAGACTCGACCTCGACCCACCAACACCGCGTAATATCCAACTCGTGAACGTGATTTTTTTTTTCGACATAGTCCAGTGACTGCAACTTCCAGCGCGGCGGCAGTTGCCATTCCTCATGTCAATCCCAGTCCCCAATCTCATGTCATGTTCAGTTCTTTCACACACAGATATATCATTATTCCATATCACATGTTACACGTGTTATCACATGCGTCTAAGTCTAATCCCTGTATGTATAGTCTGGCTCTCATATCACATGTTACATATTCCATGCGTCTGTCTAACCCCTGTATGTATAGTCTGGCTCTCATATCACATGTTACATATTCCATGCGTCTAACCCCTGTATGTATTAGTCTGGTTCTCATATCACATGTTACATATTCCATGCGTCTAACCCCTGTATGTATAGTCTGGCTCTCATATCACATGTTACATATTCCATGCGTCTAACCCCTGTATGTATAGTCTGGCTCTCATATCACATGTTACATATTCCATGCGTATAAGTCTAACCCCTGTATGTATTAGTCTGGCTCTCATATCACGTTACATATTCCATGCGTCTAACCCCTGTATGTATAGTCTGGTTCTCATATCACATGTTACATATTCCATGCGTCTAAGTCTAACCCCTGTATGTAAAGTCTGGCTCTCATATCACATGTTACATATTCCATGCGTCTAACCCCTGTATGTAAAGTCTGGTTCTCATATCACATGTTACATATTTCATGCCTCTAAGTCTAACCCCTGTATGTAAAGTCTGGCTCTCATATCACATGTTACATATTCCATGCGTCTAACCCCTGTATGTATAGTCTGGTTCTCATATCACATGTTACATATTCCATGCGTCTAAGTCTAACCCCTGTATGTATAGTCTGGCTCTCATATCACATGTTACATATTCCATGCGTCTAACCCCTGTATGTATAGTCTGGCTCTCATATCACATGTTACATATTCCATGCGTCTAACCCCTGTATGTAAAGTCTGGCTCTCATATCACATGTTACATATTCCATGCGTCTAAGTCTAACCCCTGTATGTATAGTCTGGCTCTCCTATCACGTGACTTATTTCCTGTGGCCTGACAGGAGCCGAGCATGAACATGAACAACGTGAACCCCCCGCCCATCAACAACGCCCTCCAGCCGGACATCTACAACCGTCTGGACGCCGAGACCATCGAGAGGACACGAGTGGCCAACAACCAGCTGCACATGAGGCTCATGCTGGAGGAGAGGGTCATCAACAAGTACAGGTGGGGCTTACTTAAGTAACCAGCAGGTTAATGAAGTATCCAGTGGACTTACACTTACTTAAGTAACCATCAGACTTATTTAAGTAACCAGCAGGGTACTCAAGTATCCAGTAGACTTACGTGTCCTGTACACTTACAGTGTTTCTTCCATGCATCTCTTCGGAAGTTTACCACCCCCCCCCCCCCCCAGCGAAATGAAATTTATATTGAAACATATACTTTTACCAGTTTTCGTCCCCCCCCCCCTTCCGACAATTTTAGGTGCCCCACCCCCACCCCCAGGGAGAAAAAAGTCTGGAAGAGACACTGCTTAAGTATTCATCAGACTTACATAAGTACCGCTGAAAACACAACTCGACACATTGCTACCACCTTGTATGTAGAACGTCCAGGATATTATGTGCTATGCATGACTTACCGTACTAAAGGATTCATTAACTTTTGTATTGTACGGCCAACACAATGACCATCCAACATGTCTTATACTATCACCACTTAAACATAGGTGGCCTCTAAGGATGTCATATTCACTTGAGCTGAAGACAGAAGACTAGCTTAAAAAGAATCGAACTCTTTTCAGCTCGTCTTAATAGGCGTATATTGGTTTACTGTATATAAAGGTGTATGGTATTTCTGAATACTAATATTAAATCAATTCGAGTGCTCAATACACAGACTAACCAATGTGCATGAAGAAAAAAAAAACTTTTTGAATAGCAATATACGATTGTGGTTAGCTTAATAGTAATAGGCCAACACATACCTAACATAGAAATCATTGGCTCAACTGTACGTTTTCTAAACATAATTCGACTTTACGGAAAATCGACAGAATGTTGAGAGAAAAATAGTTAGTTAAATATCCTAAGGATAGTAATCATGGCATATGTTTCTCAGTGCCCTACATGTATGCTCCTGTTCTAGGCACGAAGCAGAGCGGATCATTCTACAGGAGAAATCTCGAGTTGCCCAGGAGTTAACTCGCATCACGCGAAAGCTTCCGGCCATGGGTAGAATGCGAGGTCTGGAGGAGCAGTTGTTTACAACACGATCAAACACAGACCCGCTACCTCGAGCCACCAAGAGAAACAAGGTAACTTTATCAAGCGGTGTGTCGTAGTGTTGACCTAGGTATATGGGCGGTGTCCTTATGTTGTTCTAGAAACATGGGCGGTGTGTTGTTCTAGAAACATGGGCGGTGTCATGTTGTTCTAGAAACATGGGCGGTGTCATGTTGTTCTAGAAACATGTGCGGTGTCATGTTGTTCTAGAAACATGGGCGGTGTGTTGTTCTAGAAACATGGGCGGTGTGTTGTTCTAGAAACATGGGCGGTGTCATGTTGTTCTAGAAACATGTGCGGTGTCATGTTGTTCTAGAAACATGGGCGGTGTGTTGTTCTAGAAACATGGGCGGTGTGTTGTTCTAGAAACATGGGCGGTGTCATGTTGTTCTAGAAACATGGGCGGTGTGTTGTTCTAGAAACATGTGCGGTGTATTGTTCTACAAACATGGGCGGTGTGTTGTTCTAGAAACGTGGGCGGTGTGTTGTTCTAGAAACATGGGCGGTGTGTTGTTCTAGAAACATGGGCGGTGTGTTGTTCTAGAAACATGGGCGGTGTCATGTTGTTCTAGAAACATGTGCGGTGTCATGTTGTTCTAGAAACATGGGCGGTGTCATGTTCTAGAAACATGTGCGGTGTCATGTTGTTCTAGAAACATGGGCGGTGTGTTGTTCTAGAAACATGTGCGGTGTGTTGTTCTAGAAACATGGGCGGTGTGTTGTTCTAGAAACATGGGCGGTGTGTTGTTCTAGAAACATGGGCGGTGTGTTGTTCAAGAAACATGGGCGGTGTGTTGTTCTAGAAACATGTGCGGTGTGTTGTTCTAGAAACGTGGGCGGTGTGTTGTTCTAGAAACATGGGCGGTGTCATGTTGTTCTAGAAACATGTGCGGTGTGTTGTTCTAGAAACATGGGCGGTGTGTTGTTCTAGAAACATGGGCGGTGTGTTGTTCTAGAAACATGGGCGGTGTGTTGTTCTAGAAACATGGGCGGTGTCATGTTGTTCTAGAAACATGGGCGGTGTCATGTTCTAGAAACATGTGCGGTGTCATGTTGTTCTAGAAACATGGGCGGTGTGTTGTTCTAGAAACATGTGCGGTGTGTTGTTCTAGAAACATGGGCGGTGTGTTGTTCTAGAAACATGGGCGGTGTGTTGTTCTAGAAACATGGGCGGTGTGTTGTTCTAGAAACATGGGCGGTGTGTTGTTCTAGAAACATGTGCGGTGTGTTGTTCTAGAAACATGGGCGGTGTGTTGTTCTAGAAACATGGGCGGTGTGTTGTTCTAGAAACATGTGCGGTGTGTTGTTCTAGAAACATGGGCGGTGTGTTGTTCTAGAAACATGGGCGGTGTGTTGTTCTAGAAACATGGGCGGTGTGTTGTTCTAGAAACATGGGCGGTGTCATGTTGTTCTAGAAACATGTGCGGTGTCATGTTGTTCTAGAAACATGGGCGGTGTCATGTTCTAGAAACATGTGCGGTGTCATGTTGTTCTAGAAACATGGGCGGTGTGTTGTTCTAGAAACATGTGCGGTGTGTTGTTCTAGAAACATGGGCGGTGTGTTGTTCTAGAAACATGTGCGGTGTGTTGTTCTAGAAACATGGGCGGTGTGTTGTTCTAGAAACATGGGCGGTGTGTTGTTCTAGAAACATGTGCGGTGTGTTGTTCTAGAAACATGGGCGGTGTGTTGTTCTAGAAACATGGGCGGTGTGTTGTTCTAGAAACGTGGGCGGTGTGTTGTTCTAGAAACATGTGCGGTGTGTTGTTCTAGAAACATGGGCGGTGTGTTGTTCTAGAAACATGGGCGGTGTGTTGTTCTAGAAACATGGGCGGTGTGTTGTTCTAGAAACATGTGCGGTGTGTTGTTCTAGAAACATGGGCGGTGTGTTGTTCTAGAAACATGGGCGGTGTGTTGTTCTAGAAACATGTGCGGTGTCATGTTGTTCTAGAAACATGTGCGGTGTCATGTTGTTCTAGAAACATGTGCGGTGTCATGTTGTTCTAGAAACATGGGCGGTGTCATGTTGTTCTAGAAACATGGGCGGTGTGTTGTTCTAGAAACATGGGCGGTGTCATGTTGTTCTAGAAACATGTGCGGTGTCATGTTGTTCTAGAAACATGGGCGGTGTCATGTTCTAGAAACATGGGCGGTGTCATGTTGTTCTAGAAACATGGGCGGTGTGTTGTTCTAGAAACGTGGGCGGTGTGTTGTTCTAGAAACATGGGCGGTGTCATGTTGTTCTAGAAACATGTGCGGTGTGTTGTTCTAGAAACATGGGCGGTGTGTTGTTCTAGAAACATGGGCGGTGTGTTGTTCTAGAAACATGGGCGGTGTGTTGTTCTAGAAACATGGGCGGTGTCATGTTGTTCTAGAAACATGGGCGGTGTGTTGTTCTAGAAACATGGGCGGTGTGTTGTTCTAGAAACATGGGCGGTGTCATGTTGTTCTAGAAACATGGGCGGTGTGTTGTTCTAGAAACATGGGCGGTGTATTGTTCTAGAAACGTGGGCGGTGTGTTGTTCTAGAAACGTGGGTGGTGTGTTGTTCTAGAAACATGGGCGGTGTCATGTTCTAGAAACATGGGCGGTGTGTTGTTCTAGAAACATGGGCGGTGTGTTGTTCTAGAAACATGGGCGGTGTCATGTTGTTCTAGAAACATGGGCGGTGTGTTGTTCTAGAAACATGGGCGGTGTATTGTTCTAGAAACGTGGGCGGTGTGTTGTTCTAGAAACGTGGGTGGTGTGTTGTTCTAGAAACATGGGCGGTGTCATGTTGTTCTAGAAACATGGGCGGTGTGTTGTTCTAGAAACATGGGCGGTGTCATGTTGTTCTAGAAACATGGGCGGTGTCGTCATGTTGTTCTAGAAACATGGGCGGTGTCATGTTGTTCTAGAAACATGGGCGGTGTCATGTTCTAGAAACATGTGCGGTGTCATGTTGTTCTAGAAACATGGGCGGTGTGTTGTTCTAGAAACATGTGCGGTGTGTTGTTCTAGAAACATGGGCGGTGTGTTGTTCTAGAAACATGGGCGGTGTGTTGTTCTAGAAACATGGGCGGTGTATTGTTCTAGAAACGTGGGCGGTGTGTTGTTCTAGAAACGTGGGCGGTGTGTTGTTCTAGAAACATGTGCGGTGTCATGTTGTTCTAGAAACATGGGCGGTGTGTTGTTCTAGAAACATGGGCGGTGTCATGTTGTTCTAGAAACGTGGGCGGTGTGTTGTTCTAGAAACATGTGCGGTGTCATGTTGTTCTAGAAACATGGGCGGTGTGTTGTTCTAGAAACATGGGCGGTGTCATGTTGTTCTAGAAACATGTGCGGTGTCATGTTGTTCTAGAAACATGGGCGGTGTCATGTTGTTCTAGAAACATGTGCGGTGTCATGTTGTTCTACAAACATGGGCGGTGTCGTCATGTTGTTCTAGAAACATGGGCGGTGTCATGTTGTTCTAGAAACATGGGCGGTGTGTTGTTCTAGAAACATGGGCGGTGTGTTGTTCTAGATGTTATTCTAGACAGGAAATGTGGGCGGTGATATTTATTTGCGCAGGCTCAAATACATTAACATATCGAGACAATAGGTAATAGTGCGGGGAGGGGAAGCCGATACACTTCGTGGGGTATCTTTTTACCGTGAAATCTATTTTAGCCTTCAGGATTAACGGCACGGCCGTTTAATTAGATCACAATGCACAGAACGGCGCCTACGTCTGGCGCATATTGTTTGGCCATATTTTAGAACATAATGTTGTATGGGACTCCCCGTGTAGGTCATGTGGTTAGAAGGAGGTACAGCACACAAAACGTGTGTCAACTATTACCATCGATTTTAAATCGGTCTGATCGAGACTTCTTTGTCTTTTTGACATCTTTTGTTATCAGCTCCGGCTTGTCTGAAAGCATTGTAAAACGTGTCCATCTATACATTGAGTTAGATTTCTTTGTTTACATTGCCGTTTTCTTTGCTAAAATGGATCGATGTTAGATATTGTAAAATAAGTTACAATGTCATTTCTTATATGAGTGAACTCAGCATAAAAGAAAAATTATTGCATTCCCAGTGTTTGCTGTATAGTGCAAATACAGTCGCCAATAAAACAAAACCATAGGCTACCTGTTGTGTTAATATTAGATGAACAATTAGAAAGACATCTTTTTTTTTCTCTTACAATTTAAATATTCTTTTATTTTCTCCAGCGGAAGAAAAAGAATTATCAAAATGACAAAAATGACGACCTTATTTGCCAAAGATGCTATATCCACCATCTGCCCTTGAAGAAAATGTTTTATCGAAAGGTCACACCCCCACCACAACCTACAGTGTTTGACAGCGAGAATGGTGTGACGTCAGAGGGTAACCACGCCCCGGAAGTGAACTCTATACCTGTTGGCTCGGTTTCGAAACAAATTTCCGATCTCCCTAGTCGCCAAAATGCCTCGGCCAGTTTTAAGATGGTCATACCCCCCATTGACACGTTTAAGTTTTTAGAGAGGGACAGATGTGGTCGGGAAACAGATTTGAACCAGGTGTTTACGCCAAGACTCATGCCCAACGAGATGTGGAAGGGCGTGGTCAAAGATGTGTGCAGTCAACATGTAAAGAAAGACACGATCAAAACAAGACCTCTCCGGTGTGCGAGGGAGTTTTCTCGAGAGAGAACTCTTGGCGAGAAGAGTGATCGAATCTCCAGTGTAAACAAGCGAGTCCGCGGCGAGACGCAAACACTTACAAGATCTCCAAGTACGTTGGCGCGCATGGGCTCGTTCAGACGACAGTCTGTGACGAAGACGAACAAACGCAACGAACCACAAGCACCGTCGCGATCTTCAAGCACTTTAAAAAAGTCTGAATAGAAAGCTCAGCGGTGTATTCTAACATGCAGTGTTTCTTCCAGACTTTTTTCTCCGGGGGGGCACTTGAAATCTTCGGGGGGGGCGGTAAACTTTCTTCGGGGGGGGGGGGGGGCGGACACTGTTAAAAGTATATATTTTCTATATAAATTATATAAATTTTATTTCGTTCGGGGGGGGGGGGGGGGGGCGGTAAAAAATTTTCGGGGGGGCTTCGCCCCCCCGAAGAGATGCTTGGAAGAAACTCTGCTAACATGCACATACAGACAGGAAAACACTACAGCATTAAAGAACGGTCAGGTGGAATGCCTAACCCTTGAAACAGAAAAAAAAGTCAATCGGCTTCTGTCAATTTCTTTCTGAAACTCTGCCAGATTCTACAATCTATGTTACTCTGACAGCCTATTATATAAATTGCTTTTGCTTGCAGTGTATTTAAAAATAAACCGGGAGTGATCTCCCCTAAACTTTCTCGAATATTCTTATATAAAATAACAGGGGATGGGAACTCGGGCTATAGACATGATTTTTAATCCATTTTAAATACTTAAAGTTTTAAAAATAGAATAAAATCTCGTAGACAAATTAATTGCACACCAAGTGAACGCGAAATAAAAAAGCGCATAATAGTGCGCAATATTATTATTACTTTTAAAATTTACATTAGTTTTTTGAGAAATCGGAAGTAGCGTAAAGTACTACTTCCAGTCAACGGAAATGACTCAAAATTTAATAGAAGGTAGAGAATTAGATCTTTTACTTACGTATGAAATTTCATTTATCTATCTGAAATAGTACTCAAGTTATAGGCTTTTGAAAAATTCAAAGTAGGAAAAGTACCACTTCCGGTTATCGGAAATCGCTCAAAAGTTGATACGGATCTACGATTTTGATTACATACTTATATTTGAAATTTCATCAACCTAGCTGTAACGGTACTCAAGTTATCGTGTTTACACACGGACACACACACACACACACAGACACACAGACATACGGACAAGATTGCAAAACTATGTTTTTCCGTATCAGTGAGATGCAAAACGTCGAGCGATTTTTTTTTTGCACGATTACAAGACTTTCTCTATACTTCGTATATACGAGAAAGTAAAAAATGAAAATGGCAAAATATAAAAAGAGAATTATTTTAGAAAAAAAATATTAAAGAATAGGGTAAACATTTCTATTAATGCAGACAAATATATCTGGAAACCCCTCTAAAATTAATATTAATGAACTTGAAGAATTCCATGATGTTTGGTTTGACAGGTTTTATTAACATATACTGTCAAGGTATTTCACGGCGTTTGTTTTTAGGATATGTAACACAAGTACCCATTTATCTTAAGGCTGCGTAGTTCAGCAATGGGTAGCCTACATTTCATTTGCAAAATTATTTATTGAATTTTCAGAATAAAAATGCAAACCCTATGCGAGTTGCAAACATTTTTTTAGAAATGTCTTTAAAATAAACTTGTTCTCATTTGTATGCCACTCTGAAGTGGCAGATATCTCATTTTTGTCTTCGTGTTTTGTTTTTTGAAATGACTAACTAAAATCTCGTTTTAAAAACGTTTTTTTACGTGTATTGTTAAAACGTCTGGGGGTGTAATTAAATTTAAAGGTCTCCTATTACCAGAGGCGTAGCGACCGGGGGGCAGGAGGGTACATATGTCCCCGGGCGCCAACCCTAGGGGCGCCAAAATAAGCTCATTTTAGCTGCTATTTTGAATTATAAATATAAAAAATATAGGGGGGGGGCGCGCCAAATCGAAAGTTTGTACCCGGGCGCCGGGAGGGGTTGCTACGCCTCTGCCTATTACCAATAGACATTTACAATATTAAACTTGACTACCACACTACTACTGTAATCGATACCAGTTAGCAGCGATTCTACGTATCGGCTCTAAAAGAAGTCGAGTGATCGAATCATTACTATGCTGGGGTCGAATCAAAACGAATATGAGTCCAACTACATGAGAACCCATCACAATCACTCATTGTTAACCGTCCACCCTGACTAAATGCCTGGTTAGTCTGCTCATATATCAACCAGCCCAAACATCTCAATTGATCTATCGATCAGGCTGCGGATGAATGGTTTCTAGCAGCGAGCAGGGAGCAGAGTCTAGTTCACTAATAGCAAATGGCTGTCAAGGAATTAAGTGATTGCACACCGCCTCTCCACGCCCATCTATTTACATATTATCACTTGCACGTACGATAGCTTAACTTTGCTAGTGGACGATTTATTTTATTTTGTATGTGAGTCCTTTTCCGAACATGCTGTACGGTGTAGCAATATCAGTTTAATAAATCAACCAATTTCTGATGCTTTTGTTATCTTATAAAGCTTCCAAAGCCCTATAGTTAAACATAAACTGAACATATTCGTCAGAAGACGTTATTCACAAGAAGTCGTTTACCATATTACAGTTGGTACATTTTAGAACTTAAATGAACTTTATTGTAAAAGCAATCACCTCATTTTCAAATTTTAAGACAAACATGCATTACGACGGGCACTGCTCTAGATCTAATTTTTTTCAGCAACTCTTCACAGCTAGAAACAACGTATCTTGTGTATGCCTATAGTTTAAGCTCATCATAGACAGAAACAAATTATTTTATTTTGTGTACAGTTTACAGGTAGAAACAACATATTATCGGGTGTACAATTCAAGGTCATCGCAGCTAGATAAACATATTCTTTAAGGTCATCACAGCTAGATACAACATAATTATCTTGTTCCGGCGCCCGAAGCGAACTGTCGACTTTGCATCCCCACCTCCACCCTGATCAGAAATATAGTTAAAAAGCGCCCCTTTCCTCGTTTTTATTTTGGATCACACAATTTATGAAGAAAACAAATCAGACTGTAAAGCCTTATATTTTCTCCGACGGTTTATATTTCAGTAATGCAGCTCTGAATTACCATTTTTTTTACCCCGCTTAGCGCTTTCATAAGCTGGGCGACCGGGGCGCCGACCAACCCCAACCTGCTCGAGCTACGCCTCTGGCAGAGCCGTAGCTATGGTAGGGCGGGTAAAAAATGTAAGATTGTTGTGTACCCGTAATTGGGTGACTGACAAGATGTGCATAGGAAAACTCAGAGGCGTAGGCGGGGGGTGGTGCGGACCGCACCGGGTGACACCATTTAGGGGGGGTGACACCAAGGCAAAAAAATAGCAAAATATATAGAGAAAAACTTAAAGGGGGGGTGCAAATCGAAAGTTTGAGGGGAGGGGGTGCAAATCGAAAGTCTGAGGGGGGGGGTGGCAAATCAAAAGTTTGAGGGGGGTGCAAATCGAAAGTTTGAAAGGGGGGGGGGTGCAAATCGAAAATTTGAAAGTTTGTCCCCGGGAAGGGTCGCTACGCCTCTGGGGGGTGACACCATTTAGTGCCGCACCGGGTGGACACCCGACCTCGCTACGCCACTGGGAAAACTGCGCATAGGAAAACTGCGTACTGCATATTGTTTTCTAAAAATCGAGCATTTAATAAATAAATACTGACAACATTGTAGCATAATAAAACATATTTCCACGAAATAGGACAAAACTAAAGTGTATTAGTATAATTAGTTTGTATTTGGGCAAATTTCTTTTTGCGCTGTTTTCCGTTGCGCAGTTTTCCGAATGTGCATTTTTCTGGGAACCCTTAATTGGATATCAACCTCGGCGATTAAACATAACTTTAATTTATTCTGTGAATTTAGCTTTGACGCTAGATAATTATACAGCCGTTGGGATAGCACAGGTGGACTTGATGCCTGATGGTAGAAGGTTGTGAAAGCTTTGCCTGAAATGTAGTATCAGAAAAGAACTTTCTGACAAAGAGTTTCTGACAACATAGACATTAGTGGAAAAGCTATAGGAGAATGGAATCTGAAGAATTAGCTATTAACCTCGAATCTATCAAGAACTAAAGGCGTGACTTAAAATAATTAGCTATTAGCCGCATATCTATTCAGAACTTTGAAAATATTCTTAGAACTTTAAATTTTTAAACTATTGTATGTGGGCGGGGGGGGGGGTATATGGAATGGGTTATAACCACCTAACCCCCCTTGCCTACACCATTATTTAATTATCAGAGATTGCTTCTGTTTTTGTTTCAGTCTGTTAACGACAATGGTGAATAGAAAACTGTATAACATTTTTAAAAAATAATTACGGAATTGGACCAGTAGAACAGACCCCCCCCCCCAGCTACGCCTCTAGTTGAAGGAACAGTAAAAAATCGGTCTAAGAGGTAACGACCAAGACTTTCATATTTAAGTCACCAACGATAAAACGCTTTTAGTTTTCTAAGACAATGTGGAATTCAAACGTATTGTCAAAAAAAAAAAAAGAACGAAATGTAAGGCTCGGACACAGGGGCAACAAAACGGAGAATAAACGAAGAGAAAGAAAAGGGTGGTGAACATGACACACTCTGAACGATAGTAATAACACCACTAATACAGGCGATGGTGTGGATTCCACTGCAGAGTTTCTTCCAGGCATCTCTTCGGGGGGGGGGGGGGGGGGGGGGGGTGGGGGGCATCGCCCCCCCCCCCCCCTGCGAATGTCTACCCCCCACGAACGAAATGTAATTTATATAGAAAATATATACTTTTGACAGTGTCCGCCCTCCGGAAATTGTTGTCCGTCCCCCCCCCCCCCCCCGAAAATTTCAAGTGCACCCCGGAGAAAAAAGTCTGGAAGAAACACTGTTCCACTGGGAAATAGAAAGAGTGGGAGACATAGAGAAATAGAGACGGAGCAGGCTGGAATTTCATGGCTTGAGCTTTTGAAAAATAATTAGATCTCTAGTAGATGATCGCATAGGGAACCGAAAGGAATTTTTAAAAAATAGAATTTGCAAAGTATATTTGATCTAATTTTTGTTTGGTCTCTAGAACAATGTCGTAAATAACAGCTATCAGTGACAGTCGGAGTTTCTTTCAGGTATCTTTTCGGATGTTGAAATAAACATTTTCAAAACAAACTAATTGCACTCACACAAATGACGCGTTGTTGTAATTGTTTTAATTAAAAAAAAAGAATTTGTATTTTTTTTAACTATTTATATCATAATATATGGGGCCCATAATTTTTTTGCGGGGTTTGCCCTTTTTTTCTAGTTACGTCACTGATTCGACATTATCAATGCTGCGACTGAAAATATTTTGCTTTAAAGCATTATCAGTAGCTCATGAGGGTCGATTATCCTCCCACTCCCTCCACCCCCCCCCCCCCCCACCCCCGTGAAAGCAGCCGCCCGTGACGACAGTTTACAGACGGCAATTAAAAGACAAGCAGAACTTGTTACCTCCCCTTAGTTTAAAATCGTTTAAAACTAAATTTAAACATCTCATTTTAAAATTGCTATATTGAAATGTAGGCCCTACACGTGAAAGTTAAGAGTATAAACGACATACGGCTTTATTTACTGACTAGGCATGCTGCCCAGCTTTGCTTAGGCTTTCGAAAACATTGAGAATTTGAATGCTTAATTAATTCGCCCGAGGGTCGGTCTACGACCTCAGGAGTTATGAAGAGGTTCCTCCGTGGACATTTTTTTTTCGATTTACAGCTCATATAAGGCGCCGGTCAGTCGAGGTCAGTTTTGACCCCATCATCGTAGACTTTTCGGCCAACCGGCCCCCGTGTTCTGTCGCCCCAAAGCAAGATCCTGCCAAATTTGAAGCGCCTACGGCGCCGGGAAGTGCCCTATCGGGCACCCGACAACTTTGCTTTATATATTATAGAGATTAGCAAATTGCATAGATAAACAAAGATTTCAATAAAGTAATTAAGGCCTGAAATACTTTAGTATTGAAATGTATTATTTGAATAGATGAATCTAGAATATCTAGATCTAGAATCCAAATAAATAAAATAAAGTTTATGAGTTTAGGCCGGAAAAATTGTATTGTATACATTTCATAGTGTACGTAGATCTAAATCAAATTTGAATGAAATAGTTCATTTGTTTTCATTCTAAACACGGCAGATGACGTCATTAGTTAATGTATAAGCGTGACGTTCACAGTTTTATGCGTTCTTTTTCACATATATTAATGCTTTTCCGGTTGCATAAATAATACTGTTTCTCTACATTCGAATACGCCTTTAATTTTTATTTTTCTTCTTTAACTAAAATTGTGGTTATACATTTAAAACATCTAACATATTATTTTCAACAAAAGTCCGTAAAAAGTTCTTCATATATCGCTGCCGATTCTGACGTGATGTCCGGCGAAAATATTTTGCGGACAGACAGAGAGAGAGAGAGAGAGAGATGTGCGAACGTGGGGATTTATATATTAGGATAGTAGTGATAGGCATCCAGAGTCTACCCCTACCCCCGAACGACATGGAATTTATATAGAAAATATATACTTTTAACAGTGACCGCCCCCCCCCCCCCCCCCCCCCCCGAAAATTTCAAGTGCCCCCCCCCCCCCCCCGGAGAAAAAAAAGTCTGGAAGAGACACTGATTGGACTGTTTTAGGTCTAGATCTAAATTAACTTTTTTTCAGCCGAAGCTTTATTATTAGAATCTAGTCTACACGTAGGAACGATAACTAATAGTAGATTTAGTTTATTTGCGTGTGCATTCAAAAGCTTTTTATTAATATTATAGACCTAACAATACATGTTTTATTGCTGGATATGTCACTTTTTAGGTTAGAAGTTAGTGTTAGCCTAAACGAGAGTGTTTAGGCATAGACCTAGCCTAGGCCTATAATTTCCTATCTACTAGGCCTATCTAGTTAGTAGTAGGCCTTGGCCCCTATCTTATGCTCTAGCCGTCGATGGCAAATTGCGCATGCGCACTGAATCAGGCGGAAATTTTTGAATTTATTCGCAATGTTTACAAAATGAAGTAAGGTATGTTGTTTTAACTGGAAAATCTACTATTATAATCCATTTTCATAATGAAAAACATGGTTTAATTCGAATGAATGTGTAAATAACGGTAAAATCTTAGTTTAGCGTCGTAAATTCCAGCGTAGCTAGTAATGTGCGATGAAGGTAACTAATGAATATTTCTTTCATTTGGCCATATTTAATAAATATTTATGTCATATGTTACATAATATAACAGATAATTGAATAACAAATCACAATCCAAGACCAAACCAGTCATAAATATCCTGGAATAAACTTTAAACTACCCCGTTCGAGACAACAATGAGTAAATACAAGCAGCGGCCATGTTTTAAAAACAACAAATTGTCTATTCGCATGTCTTTTGTGTTGATTTTGTGGTGTAATATGATTGTTTTGTATTGTTTTAATATATGCCGGGGGTCGTCCATAAATGACGTCACACTCGTAGGGGGGAGGGGGGTCCGTAATTTTGTGACGTTGTGTGATGAGGGGGAGGGGTTCAGATGGTGCGACGTCACATTTTTGCATTTTAAAAAAGCAATGTTACAAAACGAATTTTAGACGATATTTTGCGTTTTAAAAAACTGTTTTATTACATTGTAATAACAATTGATTAAAATACTCTATTTTGACAGAGTTCAGACAAGATTTTGGAAAAATATAGCTGTTTAAAAACAATTCAACTGCAATTTTGAGGGGGGGGGGTTGTAGGCTGAGGTGTGACGTCATTTTAGGGGGGGGTCTGGCTTTGTGTGACGGAGGGGAGGGGGGGAGGTAAAAATCGTCAAAAAAGCGTGACATCATTTATGGATGACCCCCCTGTATAGTAGTTTTTCTTTTTTTAATATAGTTGACATGAATGACTAATAGACCTTATCAGACTTAATATTGTGCATCCAAGACCACAACAATTGTTGGGAGGTCGAACTTTTGAACACTTTATTTGCAGTAAGCAAATCAATTATTTTAGATCGCTCATAAATGACGTCGCTCTTAAGATAGTAATGACAGCGTGCATTATTACAGAGCAAACATGAACATATTGTTTCAGATAGAAATTGTGATTTGTGGTGGGGAGAGGTTGAGTAGAACTCAGCGATGTGATTTTGGAGACGGGTCAGGTTTTTTTTTTCGTGAAAACGGGATGGTTGTGGGAGAAAGACCAGCTGTAGAAGTATGACGCGTCATTCATTGGTGATCCATTTTCTCAGTGGGGACGAAAGAACTATTAAGAAGGGTCAAGAAATGTAAAAAGCTTGCTGAGTCGCATTTCTTGAACCCTACCTTTTTCATTCCCCCACTTAGCACATCGTCACCGAGTTAACGCTCGCACGTGACGTCATGTAGCGGTACCGCCGACCGTTAGGCTAATTTTATAGAAAAAAAAAACAACAAGCACTGCCTTTTTTACGCTTTTGCGACGTTTAATTTGATTACATAAGTTGGTGTTCATTAAACAGCCCCTAACACATCTATCACTCGTCCATTTAAACGTACGTAGTTATTTCTGCAAGCTTGCTGTCTTGAGACTTTCGGCCCTTTAAAAATGTATTAAGCTCACACCGTATAGAACTAGACTACCCATATTAAGCTCCAAAAGAAGCTTGGTGAAAACAGGATGGCCGTCCGATTTTGTAGCTGCTCCGCGCTTTATAAAAAGCACAATAAACGATAAGATGACACTTATATTAAAGTAAATTATAGTTCTGAATCTTGATACATTAAAAGTGATATTCGGAAATTATGAGCCAGACAGTCAACATGATATTTCAATTTAAGTCCAAGAAAATAAATTTCCTCAAACGATGGAACATTACTAAATTTTTGCGCAGTTTAGCGAAATTGAATTTAAGTATTTACGTCATCTTACAAAGCGCGATAGCCTACTGGTGCTCTAACGCGGCCCATGCTAATGGCCGTATTCCTAACGCCCCGCATTAGACGCGGCTTATTCGTCGGCAGGCATTTGGTGGCAAGCCTTTTTGACGGGGATAATGTGTTAAGTTAAGGCCGTTTTGCCAAATGTCTTAAACTAGCAGGCTTGCAACATTTATGATAATTCGTTTTAAGCAAGGTATACGTATACTAATGCTTATTTATCGTTATTTTGATTGAACAAAGCATTATAGAGGTTCTCCATCAACCACATAGGTATTTTTCCCCGTTCACCTCCTTTCATGAGACCGACACGTCATAAATTGCAAAGCCGCCTGAGTTGACGTCACAAATCTTCACTCACTCCCGTAGCAAATCATATGTGACATCATTTATGGACAACCCCATATCACTCACTTGGGTACTTGATATTGACAATTTGACAACAAAGGATAACCAAAATGTGTCTGGCAGGTGGAGACTTGCGATCGACCATAATGACAACACGCACTTAAGGGGTGGAGTGGCTGATTATTTTAGATGATGTTTTACGAGGGAAGCTGGTGGATAATACATTTTGTCTCTCTGTATATATAAATTATGACAAACATTTATTGTTGTCAAAATTATGGCTAGAGATCTTAGATAAGGCAGAGCGAAGCGTAATTTTTTACATTAGGGGTCATCCATAAATGACGTCACGCTTTTTTGACGATTTTTACCTTCCCCCCCCTCCCCTCCGTCACACGTCGTCAGAAAAAGCCAGACCCCCCCCCCCCCTAAAATGACGTCACACCTCAACCTACAACCCCCCTCAAAATTGCAGTTGAATTTTTTTTAAACATCGATATTTTTCCAAAATCTTGTCTAAACTATTACAATTTATTAAAACTTTTTTCTTTTTTTATAATGCAAAAATGTGACGTCGCAACATCTGCCCTCCCCCCCTCCCCCTCATCACACATCGTCACAAAATTACGGACCCCCCCCCCTCCCCCCTACGAGTGTGACGTCACTTATGGATGCCCCCTTATGACTTGTTGTGACATTGACAACAAAAATATGACGGAGGTTGGGGTTTAATTAAGGTAAAGAGAAGTAAAAAAAAATGTCATAAGTTACGATAGAATCACTAGATCTAACTGATGAAAAGAAAAACCTGAAATGAAAATAGTGAACATTCAAACAATAAGAAAAAACTCAAACTATATAGTAATAGTAAGATCAAATAAACATTAGTAAAAAAAAAACGTGATTTAAAACATGGATACAAGTTGCATCTCACAATGCTTCTAGAATTAATAAAGTTGTTTCTTAGGACATTCAGTTTTTAAAGAGCAGAATTTAAAAAAAAAAATGCTTTGTTATACGGACTATACAACAAGACAATCAAATTTAAATACATTTTCATACGAATAGAAATGAAAGGGAAGCTACTCTAAATAACATTTTCTTAAGATGGCTGCTGTTTTTAATAGTAAATTTACTATCTCGAACAGGGTTGATAAAAATTAATTTCAGGATATTTAAATTGATTTAACCATAAATGGTGATCTATTATTCAATTATTTATAATATTTTATCAAAATATACGAAAATATACTCATATTTAATGACATATTCATTATTGCACTCTCTCCTACATTACTAGTTTTGGCCGAATTTACGACGCTAAACTAAGATTTTACCTAAATAACTACTAAATAATGCAGATCTAGATATAGATTTAGAATCTAGATCTAAATCTAAATGCCTGCAGAGAGTATGTCAAACACAGTTATTCAGTTCAGAGCGAGTCACTCCTCTTTCACACACATTCATCTCGCTTTCGGCTCGCCCTGCCTTCGCAACTCTCTTCACAATGAATATTAATCGTAGCCTACACTCAAAGATTCCTAGATCTAGAATCTAGCTAAACAATCTATCTAGATCTAGATTTTTATCTAGATATCTAGATCTAGATCTAATGTCTAATAAATAATAATAAAATAATTTTATGAATGGGTGTGGTGTTGAGTGTGTTGTGACTTGTTGTGGCAGTTGATTATTCAATCAATATTCATTCCCAGTTGCCTTTACTTTCCAAGTTTCCAAATTCTGAGTTAGGTAAAGTCTAAGATCTAGATCTAGATCTACGCATCACATTTAGATCCTAGATCTAGATTATCTAGATCTAGTTTAGATTTTAGATTCTGGGACTGGGTGGATTCAGGGATATCCTGAGTGATATAAACTTGAGACCTTCAGGCGAGTGTAGCTGAATGCTATATATAGACATGGTTGTACTTGTAGCATACAAAATGAATTTATGAGTATTTTATCTTAAAATCATATGAGTTAGTTAGAGGAGGGATTAAGAATTTCATTGGTACCAAATTTAGATTTCTAGAGAATTTTTTTTTCCTATTTAAAATGTATGGTCTTAGGCCTATAATATATATATTATATAGCTGTATACCTAGATCTAGTAGATTTATATAGATCTAGTATATAGGCCTAAGCTCTGTAAAAAATGAAACAAGTGGGAAACAAAAATGAAAATTTTATAAACTATGTTTGCAAAATTTTTGTGAATTCTAATTATAAATTATAAAACAGGGGTGGTTCCTTTATGCAAAATTGCTTTAATAATTGTGCAGGCTTGTTTCTTTTTGATGTTATGATTTTAAAAAAAAAATTACATTTTTACTGCTGACGAAGTATATATACAAATACAATAGTATTTGTAACTGTCTTAAACTTGTGAGGTAACTAACACTATCTGTTTTATTACTAACAGTGTTGAATGACTGAGCCCTGAAATATTTTTACCTAGGCCTATAGTTTAATTAGAATCCCTTCTAATTCTATTATTATAGATTTAGATCAAGGCCTACTCTTTTTTTAAAATAGTTCCATACACATGTATGAACTGTCATTTATGACTATGTAATAGCAGTAGCAGTATTTCTAGTTGAAGCTCAAAAGTTAATCATAATGATGTAGGCCTAATGGTTAGGTTCAGAAGTAATAACATTTAATGTTATTAGTGTGAACTTTTTATGCTTTCTAAAAGATAATGCCTCAGTGTAATTTATAAGTAATTATTTTAAACTGTTGTATTAATTTTGAAAATAATGTTCAGAAACTAGAGTCTACATGCTTCAAGAAAATGAATGAAGAAAAACAAACCATTCGAAGCAGGTATGAATCCAATTTAGTTTGCTATTAATTAGAAAATTGTTTCAAAATTTAGATTGTTGATAGTTTTTTTTATTATGTGTATAAAGTCATTAAAGTAGTTAATACACAAGCTTACTATTATAAATACTGTTTAAGAAAATGTAAATAATTTACCTTCTTTTAACTCACTACTAAATAATGTCTTATTTTAGAACAAAGAAATCTGAAAGCCGCAGATCCTCTGTAAGTGTTTGTTGAAATAAAATATAATTTATACTTTTATCTGTTTATTTTTTAATTGCACTCATATTTTTTTTAAAAACATTTTTGGTTGCAATAGTTTTAAAAATTTCTTGCTGCATTCAATTATGAGATTTAACAAGAAGTATTTTATAGAGACTTCAAACTAAGAAATTCTTGTGTATTATTTTGCAGATCCTAAAAAGACTGGACACTTGCACTATAGAGGTAAGCAGATTATCAATTTAAAAAAAAAAACAGATTTCCATTTTGTAGTGTAAACCTTTAGTTGATTAGTAGTATCACCAGTAAAAAGAAACTAATAAATAAGTCTGTGAATTCTCTTAAGGCTAATTGTTTTACAGTTAGTATTTTTTAGATTGATTAAGGTTTCCATTTAATACTTTTCAGAATTTTGAAGGGCAAAATGAAGGTCCAAGAACACCTAAAAGGGTTAGTTTTGCCCCAACATTTACCCTGAGGTATGTTATATATTGTATTGAAAGAAATTGGGCAGTTATTTTCTGTGACTTACATATTAAATATATATTGGGTGAATACATTATATAATTGATCAATTCCTTGTAGCAATAATAATATGGACACTCAATACTAACAATTATAATTTAAATGATTGTTTAGAGAGTTTCAAGTGAGTGTAAGTGATGAAAGCTGCAGCACAAATGGAAGCCAACATGATCCTTCTTTGCATCCATCTAATCTGGTAAGATAGTAAGAAAAAATAAAACCAGCCTCTTGAAATTTATAATTATTTCAGACATGCCTACCATCCCGCCAGAGAAAAGTAATAAATTGAATTGAAAAAAAAGAGCAGGGAAAATCAATTATCTCCCTTTGGCACATGTTTCCTAGTTTACTTATAATATTTACAAGTATTATCTAATTCTAATCTACTAATAGATAATGTGGACAATCTAGCTTCTGGATGTTCTTTGTAGTATTTGCTATTGAATTGTAGATGTAAATTATGCCTTAAAAAACATTTAGGGAGAAAAATACAATAAAATCATGCCTAACACACTAAATTCTAGATCCAGTAGATAGAGATCTATCTTGTTAAAGTTGTATCTAGATTCTACTATTACTAAGACTAAGAAATTAGTAAGAAGTAACTAGGACTTTTACAACTCTAACAAACAAAGCCTATATATACCCTAGAACATAGCAAGGCAGGAATTATCAAAATCAATAATAATGTTATGTCAAAGCTATGGTTTTTATTTGGAGTGGAGGTCTCAGGTAACTGGTTACCTTTTTTTTTAAAAATGTAAGCTCTCGTTAAATACTACTTAAATGTAGCCTAGAGACTAGTTATATATAACTAGAAGTAGTAGAAGTTTTCTAATTATTAATGTCATTAGGTTAGGCTAGGTTAATGTCATTAGACTAAATTTTAATTATTTATTTTTGACTTAGTAAAGTAGCTTCTTTTTGTAGTAGTAGTTTCTCTTTTTGGCTTCAAATTGCTGTTATTTGTAAAAAAAAATAGTTGCAATTTTAAAATTGTATGTTGAGAATTAGATAATCCATGATAATAAACACCAGTTTAATAAAAGGCCATGTATCTTAGTTTTAATTAAACTATTTTTATTAGCCTCCTCTTTCCTTGTAAAATTTTGTAGAAGTAAATGTATGCCTATAAATAATCAAATATGTAGCTGTGTATATTTGTGTATATGAATGTCTATATTTGTGTATATGTCTCTCTCTCTCTCTAAAAATATATATATATATATATATATATATATATATATATATATATATATATATATATATATATATATATATATATATATATATATATATATATATATATATATATATATATATATATATATATATATCTAATATATAAAGCTCAGTTCTGTAACGTGTGGCAAAAAAAAAAAAGTTTGTCGTTGACACTTCTACGGATTTAAGTGTTAGATTTTTTATCGTGCTCAAAGTCTAAATTTACGAGTCGAAAAATTACCATTGAAAGTCTTTAAAAACAATTTTCATTCTATTTACTTAGAAGAATAATTTTCAATTATGAACACGACATAAAATTTTTAAAAAGTGTATCGACGTTTATAAAATTTCTAAAATTGTGTCGGAAATGTATTGACTGCAAAGTTACTTCCCTTTAATAAAAAAATTCTTAAGAAGAAAGAATTTACATTTTATTACTTTGTTTTTGGTGTTAAGAAAAAAAAATAATTACACAATTAGCGGGGATTGATTAAGTGCAATGTCGTTAGGTATTTTTAACACTGCCTTTTATTTATTCTATACACTGAACATACTGTTCAATAATTATTATTTTTTTTAAAATCAATAACATTTAATAAGCCAGGTCCTACAAATCCTATATGTTTATTTCTTTCCATTTACGGATAAGCTTGGAGTATTATCATTTTTGTTCACTAAATTGAAACAGGCGCGTCCGCCGGCGCCCTTGCACGGTTCGATTTGGCACCCTGGGCTATCATGTGAGCGCTATGCTGCATAGTTTTGTTTTTAACAGTGCGATAGACTATGGGTAAGAAAGGTTACTATAGTCTTTAAGTGAATCAAATCCGGGCGTCCTCCGGCACCCCGACAGGGTGCTATTTGGCGCCCCGGGCCTTCCGGTGTACGCTATGGTATATACGTTCGCGTGAGTTCAAAAGACTATGAATAAGTTATGTACTATAGTCGTTTACTAAGTTCAATCAGGCGGTGACGTCATGGTGCGTCCTCTGGCGCCCAGACAGGGTGCTATTTGGGGTCCCGGGCCTCCCGTGTTCGGTTTCGCGCCTACGTTCATTAAAGTGAGTGCAAAAGACTATGAATAAGTTGGGGTACTATAGTCGTTTATTAAGCTGAAACAGGCGATTCCGCCCCGGGCTAGACTCTGAGCACTGTGCGTTCATGTTCGCGTTAGTGTTTTCTTTGTGTTTAGGTTGGGTTTGCGTTAGTGGTTGCGTTTTGATTTGGTTCGTTTTTGTTCTTTCTTTTTTCGTTTTCGTTTGTGTTTTATTTTCTTTGCGTTTGTGTTTGTATTTGTGTTTGTGGTTGGTTTTGCGTTTGTATTTGGTTTGTTTTCGTTTGTTTTTTCGTTTGTGTTTTTTTCTTTGGGTTTGTGGTTGGTTTTGCATTTGGATTTGGTTTGTTTTCGTTTGCTTTTTCGTTTGTTTTTTTCTTTGTGTTCGTATTGGTGTTTGTGGTTGTGGTTGGGTTAGTTGTTAGGTTTTTGTTTTCGTTTGTATTTGTAATTGTGTTAGCGTTATGTTTGCGTTTTGTTGTTTTGGTTTTGGTTTGGGTGTGCAATGCCGGGTTTATGATGATTACTAAACACACAGGTAATGGTCTTTAACAGAAAGGTTTTTCACAGAAGCCAGAGCAGGGCCTGGCCGGGACGGCTAGTATATATATATATATATATATATATATATATATTCATTCACAAATACATGTGTATACTTATTTATACATACACATACATTTGATTCTATTTTTGGTAAAGGATCTGGATGAAGTTTTTCACAGTTCTAATGCACAGATTGGTCAACCATCAACTTCAGTTGCTGTTGTACAATCTATTGCCTCAGAAAATCATGTTAACTTATTGATAAAGGAAAAAGAAATTATTCTACAAAAGTGGTAAGATTTTTTAAATGCGTAGTTTCTTAATAAAACTTATCTGATTATTAAATAAATTAATTTGTAACTTCTGTTAATAAGTCACAACAAGGATATTGTCTACATCATTAAATTATTACATTTTTTATGGGATCTTCATTTTGTTAATTCATGTCTTTGCTTTCTTAGTGAAGTAAACAAAGAAGACTGGAAATCAAGAGCTGGAGACGAAAATAAAACTATAATGTTCACCGATATGGATGATTCTGCTTGCATGGATTTAACAACAAACATTTCCCAGTTATCTCAGTCTCTCTTACAGTGTGAAACTGGATTGGGAAATGATCTGGATAGAGAGAAATATAAACCAGGATTCAGTAGAAGGTCTTCTTTTTCCGAAGAGAGTGCAGATGAGAAGTTGGGAGACACATCAATTTTCAAACCAAAGGTCAGGCTGTTTGATGACCTTTTTAAACTGGCAAAAAAGCCTGAGCACGCTACAGTGGTGTCTACAGAGGAGACTATTTATGATCTGGATACTATGAATATTACATGTGACCTTACTATTGGCTCTCAGAGAGCAGCATTAAATGATATCACAAGTTGTAAAATTATGACACCTATTGAAGAAATGTCTTTAGCATCTGTTAATGTGTCTCTTGGTGATAATATTAGAGTCCCTGGAGCACTGCCATCTTTTAGCAAAATGTCTACTTTTGGCCAGATTAACTCCAAAATTGATAAGTTGCAGTTGGAAAACATTGATTTTATTGCAGACAAAGAAAATATACAATTGTGTGAAAAAGAAAACTATCCATTTATACATAATGTTCCCAAAGCAAGTTTGGAAATACCATATGTGGATGGATATTTAGCGCCTAAAAATACTGCATTTCAACATTTTTCCAAACCAGATATTGACTTTGATGAGTGTAATAACAAAGATTTAATTCAACATCAGACAAAATCCAGTATGCCTGAATACCACCCTGCAGAAATGTCAACAAATGCTGTTCATTTAACAACCAGCAAGGGAATACAGCCAATTACACATCACAAAAACTTTGGACATTATCCTTTAGACAACAATGAGAAACAGTCTATAAACACAGAAAGGGAATTCTATACTCATAATTTACATGGGGAATCTACAGCTCATTTTGATGATAGTGAAGAAATGGAGTTAGCCACCACTTACACGAAAACTATTCACATTGGACCAGAAACACAGTCTAATTTTACTGGTGTTCAGAGGTTTTCTGAAGAAAAGACAACACATTTTAATAGCTGTGAAATGGAAATAACAAAATTTCACACAATAGGACACATTGAAATAGGCAACAGGGATGAAAAACCTGAGTCAAAATATTTCAAAATGCTTCCAGCATTGCCATCCTTTAGCAAGATCTCGGAATTGAGTAAGTTGAGCTCAACAAATGAAAATTTGCCAGTGGGAAATACTGCCATCAGTACAGGCAAAGAGGACATCCAAATGTGTGAAAAAGAAAACTATCCTTTTATTCCAGATATAAAAGCTAAATTTGAGAAACAACATGCAGATACACTAGTAACATTACAAAATAACACTGCATTTAAACATTACACTAAACCAGAGCTTAGCTTTGATGGCTCTACTAAAAAGTTATTTCAGCATCAAATAAAAGCCAGTGTGCCTGCAGAAATGTCAACAAATGCTGTTGTTCATTTAGCAACCAGTAAGGGAATACAGCCAACTACACTTTCCAAAAGCTTTGGACAATATCCTTTAGACAAATGTGAGAAACATTCTATAAATACAGAAAGGGAATTTCATACTCGAAATTTACATGGGGGATCTACAGCTCATTTTGATGATAGTGAAGAAATGGAGTTAGCCACCACTTACACAAAAACTATTCACATTGGACCAGAAACACAGTCTGGTGCTACTGGTGCTCAGAGGTATTCTGAAGAAAAGACAACACATTTTAATAGCTGTGAAATGGAAATGACAACATTTCACACAATTGGAAATGTTGAAATAGGCAGCATTGATAAAAAACCAGAGGCAAAATATTTCAAAATGCTTCCAGCATTGCCATTGAGCTCAACAAATGAAAATTTGACTGTGGGAAATACTTCCATTAGTACAGACAAAGAAAACGTTGAAATGTGTGGAAAAGAAAATTATTTGTATATTCAAAATGTTAATAAATCTAAATTTGAGGGTCAAAATGCAGATGAAATTTTAGTATTTCAAAATAACAGTGCAGTTAAACATAACACTAAACCAGATATGGAATTAGATAGCTGTAATAAAACAGAGTTTATTCAGCATCCGACAGAAAGTGTGCCTGAATATCACTCTGCTGCTAATCATACAAACAATGAAGAAATGGAACTAGCTACAACATACACAAAGACTATTCACATTGGACCAGAAACACAGTCTGATTCTACTGGTGTTCAAAGATGTGAAGAGAGGACAACCTTTAAAAGCTGTGACATGGAAATAACACAATTTAACACAAATGGGTATGAGGAAAGCTGCAATATGTTTAGAAAGACAGAAGTAGAACATATTAACATAGTTAACAGAGATATTGGAAATGTGTCCTCTCAAACTCCTGTAGACCAAGATGAAAACCATCAAACAACTTGCAATGAAATAAACAATCAGACAATGAAAACAGACATTGATTCCTCTATTGTTTATACAAACTCAAGAAAACTGCCTGGAGCAGATCATTTTGAATCTAGTGATACACCTGAAATTTCTAGCTCTTTACATCAGTTGAAATCATTAAAAAGAAGTTCTCCTCACGGTCTAGATGATAATCAAGACACTAAGCGGTGGAAAACTACCTGTGTAAATGCTGAAGATACAGATGGTAAAAACCTAAGCATTAACGACAGTCTTCCATTGAAAGATCCATGTGCTTACAAGGAGAAAAACAATTCAATATTAACTTCCAGTGAATACACTAGGACTTCGGATAAACAACATGAAGAGTTCAAAAAGTCATTGATTAAAGATATGAGACTTTCATTGACACTCTCAAGGCGTTCTTTTTCTTTAGATGGAAGAAGTAAAACTAGTTTCATTCATAGTTCTTTAAATACATCAAGTGAGCCAAGAAAGCTTACTAAGAAAGACAATTGTAGTTTTAACAAAAACACGGAAGCTTCAGTGGATGATGAATATTTGCCACCAACCACTATGTTTAACTTAAGTACATTTAGCAAAGATGTCTCAAAAATAGGAGAAAGCTCAAGCATCTCTCAAAAAGATCATCAGCTTAGCATGGTGATTCCCCAGCTTTCTAGTTCTCGGGTGGCAATAGAAAATGATCTTTCCTTCATGTCATCAAATGAATTAGATTCACTAGAAGATAGTTATTTTGAGCCAACAGAATGGATCAACAATCAAAAGATGCCAATTTTTGCAGATGATGGTGAGCCATTTCAGATTTTATTTTATTGCTCATTGGTCTACAAAATACACTTTCTATTAGGATAAACCTCTTAAAATAGCTATGACTTTGCTCTTAGATCATATGTATATATAATATAGATACATAATTATGTAGCTATTTGAACATTGGATAACATTCTATGTGTTCTTTGTAACCTTTTTTGAAAATCAGATATTGATGTTGAGCTGGATGCTGTTGAACAAGATATAAAATCCGTTATGGAAAAACCGTCAAAAATCTCTGAGATTCATCATGAACTTGGCATTGATGTTCTTAAAACCAAGAAAATCAAGGAGGTCTCAGTGCAGGTATAAAATTAACAATTGTAGAAAATTTACAATGCAAATTTGTATGTTCTTGCCTGTTAATTATTATAATTATCTTAGAATGGAGAAAAACATCTCTTTTGTTTACTAGTCTATATTGATTTTGCCTTGGCAGTAAAATAGTAAAAATGGAATTCATTAAAATTAATAAAATGTTAACTGTTTATTTTAGGATGTGCCATTGTCTACACAGTATGAAAGGTTGCTTGCTAAACTGACTGTAATTACAAAAATTGAATCATTAAAAAAACTGGTCAAAGACGTTGAGTCAAAAATCAATAAGTAAGTTTACACGCCACTAACTTTGAGAATTTCACTTGCATATTATATATATATATATATATATATATATATATATATATATATATATATATATATATATATATAGAGTATGGAGATGTGCCTGATTCAATTTAGTGAATGATTAAAGTTGCTCATTGTGTCCCAAGTGGAAAGCACTAATATAGGCGCCATAGATGTTTTGATAGCTGCTGGGAAACTCTGGGCGCCAAATCCCAGCCTGCAGGGATGCCATCCCCTCTGATTATTTTATTTTCTGCATAATCTTTCCCAGGAGTATTCTCAACTACTTCCCAGTTTCACAGTGATCGGATGGATGGTGTAGTAATATATAAAAATCAAATGCACAAACAAACCTACAGACATACTTTCTTTTATTTATATATATATATATATATATATATATATATATATAAATTATAAATTAAAATTTTATCTGTCATGCATCTCTCTCTACCATCTGCCAGTATAGTCCTAAGCAATGAAGCATTACAACTTGGGTTGCAAAACAACCAGAAATGGTAATCCTATCACCAAAGTGGTGCCACTCCTGATTGGAGTTTCTCAGTTGAGTGTCTGTCCCAGCTAAAATCTCATTTGCCCAAAAGAATAGATTTTATTAAAGTAAAGTTGAAATAAAAATGAAATGAGAAATATGTATTCTATTCTGTAATCCAAACAGGACAAATCAGGATTTTCAAACAAAAGTATTACAGTTTGCTAACAATCCACCTAAATCTTGGGTTGATGTAATGAAGGCCATTAAAAGTGAAGAAAATGTAAGTAAATTATAAACCATTTTTAATAAATTATAAATAGTGATTTTACTTTTGTTATGATTTATCTTTAAAGCTGTTTAAGTAACAGAATTGATGTTAATGTTTACTATATTTATTTATTTCTTTAGAGCTTATATAAAAATAAAGCACAGGAAATGTTTGAAGCTTGTAGAACTTCTGCAAAAGCAAGATGGAAAGAGCACAAAACTGACAGTCTTTTGTCATTTTGTACTGTTGCTCAGGTAAATTACAAAATACAGTAATATAATGTTAATATTGAATCTTTTTTTATATGATGCAAGTTGCTACACATAAAAATCGATCTACATTTTCAAACTAGTTACTTTTTTCTTTTCCAAGTTTCGGTATACATCATGTTTTTTGTCACTAGCTTCAGTGAATGTTATCTTAGACTATTAAAGCAGTTTGAAGCCATTTCCAATGCACTCAACAGCTCTATATTCTAAGTAAATAACAATATGTTGTTACAGAGGGCACATGATGACTTAAAAGCAGAGATTACAGATGTTATATCTGAAACTGAGAGAGTTGTGAACCTTACAGATGAACTTGATAAATGTGAGAAGTTTCATTATAATTTTAAAATAGCATATTTACTTTTTTTGCAATATTATAATTTTAGTAAACAGTAGTAAAAGATTTGGTAAATAGTTGAACTTAAGTAACTGTGGGGAAGTTTTTAATAAAGTGAAGTTATCCTTTCTGACCTGTTTGCCTGTGGGGCTGATGAAGTAGAGTTCTTTCTGTAACCTCTCCATGTAATGGGGTACTGTTGTCAGTACTATGCCCAGCCACCTTCAATTTCCCTAACTAAAGTCAGGTACTGATCAATGGTGAGTGGACTTGAGATGTCCTACAGACTCAAGCTGCGATCCGAACTTGAAACTTTCAGGTTAGCAGTTATGCACTCTACTGTCCAACCACACTATCCCATAAGGAACTTTTTAAGGAATAAAAAAAAGATTGAACTGGCTTATCAAGGTAACAATTTTGTAAAACTGACTTAACATTTTAGGGCTGCTGATTGGAGATCTAAAGGAAAAGGAGAAGTGAGTATTCGACAGTTTTTTTATTTGTGTTTTAATAATTTTATGAAAAAGATTGTATATTTATCAGTTTCTGAAACTTCTGTTATATATTTATCAGTTTCTTGATGCATCTGTTATCTATTTAATAAAAGGTGTTGTCGTATGTTCTTTATTTATATATATTTATATATACATTTTTAGTGAGACAAATACTTTAAAAAACAATTGTGACCAAGCTGAAGAAAAACTGACAGTCATAGAAAACGAAAGTACAAAGTCTTTAAAAAGAATAGCTGAGTGTAAAAGTGAGACTGAAAACGTCAAAGCAAGACTAGCCTTGACATTAAGGTAGAGCATAATAGCTAATGATTTATCTTTAAACATTCTTTAGTTTTCATATTATATTGCATGGATTTTTTTGTTTCATTTTATCTTTAAAATCCATTTTTAAAATATAGTTAAAATATTTGTATAAAAATAGTGTCTTCAGTGCTTGTCAAATAATGAAACACTTTTGTATTGTGTTGAATTGTTTTGTTTCAGTTTGACTGAATGGGCTATTCTTGAAGAAAATGAAAATGAGATGAAATTTTCTTTCTTTTTTCATTCCATTATTTTAAAAATAACATTTAACAGTTCAAAGGAAAAAATAATAAAAATCTCATTAGGATCAACATTGTCAGGTAATTATATCTTGTTTCCAATAATTACATTATTATAACATTTAAACTTAGAAAATTCAGATATAAAACAAATAAGTTTTTGTGTGGTAGTTTTCATCAAACAAGATAGCAAATATGGAGGAAATAAATGCAAAATACTTGGGTAAAAACTAGAAAATAAATGTGTTAAATGTTTCAGATAAAAGCAAGCCATGTGCTAAGCTGGCACATTCACTGGCAATGTCTAGTATAGATTGTGAAAAGTTACTCAGCAATTATTCAGACTATAATCAAATGGTTCAGGTAACATTTTTAATAAAACAATTTAAGTAGTTTCTTCATTATCAAAAAACTTAATAGGATTAAATTCATATTGATTTTGTAGTTTATAATCTTGTTTTTTTTCTCCTGTTTTTAAAGTGTCTTCTCCTTTTTAATTTTGCAGCTTCTTGATAATGTTTCAAAAACAGTTTGTACGTATCGCCAGCTAGTCAGTGAATTACGGCTGGCTAACATAAAGCATGATCTTTCCATCTGTGAAAACAGGTTTATTATTTTATTACCAGGTTTTTTTTTAGTATTTTAATTACAATATTTTAAATTGCATTTTCAAGGGGAAAGAATTAAATTCTTTAGAATTCGAATATGTATTTCCATTTGACACAAAATTAACCATTTTGTTTCTTTCATACAATTTTTAATTAAATAATTTAGCATTATATTGTTATGATTTAATTTTTTTCATTTCAGGTTAACTTATGTAATATCAAGCAGAAGAACCAGACAAAGAGTCAAGCTGGAGACAGTAATTTGCCCTAAAGTATACCCTAATACATTAATGTGGCAGGCTACTGTATTGATCGGAAACTTAAAGTATGTTATTTTAAAATATTTGTTGAGATTCTCATTGTACTTATTTGTAAAATGATGTTTGAGATTATTTCCTTGTTATGATTATAAAATATGAAACCAACATTTTGAAGTAGCATGTTTATTCTTTCCCAGGACTGAAGAAGTTACTCAAGCACTTGATCATGTACAAGGTGGCCACCAATACATAACACGAGCATTAGCAGAGGTTGAAAACTTGATTAATCAAAGATGAAAAAATGTGAACTAGCTTGCCCTATGTTTTCAAAATTCTTGTTGACTTATTTATCATAATGTAATTTAAAAGTTGATTCGCTGATGAACTCTTCAGAACTTCGTGCTGTATATTAATTTAATATTTAAATTAAATGTGTACATGTGTAGATAATGATTTCAATTGTTTGTTGTTTATTTTGACAGCTGGAATGCAAATATATGATTTATGTTTTAAAACATACTTGTTATTCATTAGTTTAATACAACCATGTAACACAATTTTGTTTGCCTTAATGGATGTTATGAATCAAATGTAGAATAAAGATAATGTTTATTAACAAATCTATGAACAACAATATAATTAAGTTTATGAAAAATCACCAGAAATAATAAATAAAACAAACTGTTTTTAGTAAATACATTGATTCCATTAAACACATTTATGTGGGAAAAAAAATCATGTTCTTTTTGTTCTCTTCAGCAGTCTACTTTCACTGTTGAGGTGCCACTTGTCTTTTTTCTCTGCTCTGCTATTCTCAAGTGCCATATTTCTCATTTCGCCTGCCTCTTTTAAATTAGCCTGGCACTGTTCCTCGAAACAAAGTTTTTGCTAGACCAGACCACCTTGTTACATCTGTCCATGGGTTACTGCCATCAGCTAAAGAGCCTCATTTGAGTCTGAAGTTTTTCAAATATTCAGCTTCTAATTATTGATTTTGATAGTGAACCAGTTTTTAATATTTATCATTGGTGTTTTTGGTGCATTCCATTATGCAGTTGATGTCTTGCTAATGAACAGAACTACTTCACTGTGTACATCTTCTGATTTGATATTTTGTATCTAAACCTCTTTGGCAGCTTTTTATGTTTTATTAACAAAGCTTTATTTTCAACTTTTACGACTTTTAGGCTCATTTTCTGTGGCAGTGTAACTGCTGTGCTGTTACAAATTACTGGATTTTAAATGAAACATTTAGTCATTTTAATTAAATATATCATGGATATAATTATAATTAAAATAGACTAAAATTGGTTATCAGGATGGATATTTTGTCCTACCTATTTTTATGTGATGCTATTTTTTTAAAAACTATGTCAATCTATAAATATATAAGGAATAATGAAATTTTTTGTAAATACTTGTAAGAAAATAAACTGTGACTAAGACTAATGTTACCTTGTTACCAACTACTAAACGGGATACTTTTTACTTAGGGGGTATAGAGGAAGGATTGTAATGTAATCATGCAAAAAAAAATCAATATTTTGATTTTGACTAATTTTGACGTTTTACAACTCCTTGAGTTGAAAAAAAAATCTTAGTTTTGCTGTGGTGTCAGTCAGTCTATGTGTATGTTAGCATTATAACTTGAGTTAGGTTGACAAAATTTTGTTCTTTTCTGTCAACTTTTGATCAATTAGAATATGTTATTAGAATATATGAGAAAGTTTAGGAGAGATTAATCCCCCCTTTTTTTTAAATAGTATATTTAGTTAGGTCATGTATCATACCAAAGCCAGACAGAACCAGTAGTAATAGTGACATCCAGTGTTCATCTAATTTTATTTGTAATTTTGTTATAAATCGTTCACATCTTGAGCCAAGTTCTGGCTGATCAACTTAATTCTCTCTAACTTAAAAATGAGTTTAATTTTTTGATTCAAGTTGAGTCAGGTAACTTTATCAAAAGAACCCATCTGTCTTACGTGATTTGCTGCCACCAGTGACATAATTGAAGCCACAAAAGCTTTTTAAACTTAAATTTATTTTGAGAATCATTGATTTGTAGCACAGGTGCACAAAATAATTTAAAGACATTCAAGTTGTACATTCCATATGAAAATTTTAAACAAATTTTACACTAACAACTTTATTCAGTTTTTATCACAGTAGGTTTAGATTAATTCAAAACATCAATCTAAATATTTCATGTACTCTCTAAACACCAATCAATATTTTAACAAAAAAGTATTGACAAAATATAAAAAGAGAATTTTATGAATATAAATTCAAACAAATCAAACTAAGATCTAACATTGAACATACAAAATAAAATAAAAAGTGGTTTTTAAAACACTGAAATTTCCAAGCAACTTTGTTTACAAAATTTAGCTGTTGTGCTTAACCATCTTCAACTATTCACCTGCACAACACATAAACCTTTATTTAAATGGCATTATACCAGCAATATTGATGACAGAAAAACATGGTGATTTCTATCAAGTTCTCATCATAAATATCAATTTATTAAAATAAAATGTGTAACATAATTGACTTATTCAGGTACTGTAGCCATGATGGTTGAATGTTAAAAGGTTTGATGAGCTGCTGGTAGAGGATTGAAGTCAAATTTTGTTATGGTCACATCACACACCTGATTATCAGCTACACAACAATAACACTTTCACTTGGTGGCATGCTGACAACCCCAGTTATGAGAGGAACAGACTTTCCATTTTTAAGTACATAAACCTGGAGAATAGAATTTAATAAAATCATTTTACACCTAGCTGGTCGGCTAAATTAATTTTTACCTCAACCTACCTTTCTAGGCAAACAATAATAGCTATGTCACCACAACAGTACAAAGTGAGGGGGTCACAAAGTTTTTAACCTTTATAAACTCACCTTTACACTGTCTGTGATTCCTTTGTCATTAAGACATTCCACAAATGTTTCAAAATCATAGGTTAATCCTGGTACCAACATGGGGACCTGTATTGGTAAAAGAAAAAAATTCACTCTGACCAACATTTCTGACAGAGAATAAAATGTAATGTTATTATTTAGATTTCTACAAACCTGAATTAATTTTTTATGAAAATTGTACAAGGAGTCATCATAATCAAATGAAATGAGAAGATTGGATGAAGCTTGCGACAGCGACGTGTTCTGCAACTTAACAGTGAACTTAAAGGTTGGGCCAATACCCTGAACCTGAAATAAATTTTTTTCAATATTAAACTGAGATCACTAGGATTACAACTGTATTGTTAATCATACATTTTTAGTGCTACATTTTGTTTCAATTTTATGAAAACTGCATAAAACAATAACTAAACAAAGAATACATATATAAATCAGATGATGTCCAAAACTAACATTAGCTGTGAGCTTGAGCGGCTCCATGGGGTCAGAAGAAATGGGATTCATGCTGCTGTCTAGCACTTTGACATACTCTCTCATTACTTTTAAGCGCAGCAAAGAAAGATCTCGCTGAAATGTTCTGTGCATGGCTGTATTTGAATAAATAACAGCTAATTAAGTTACAGGTATTCTCATCAGTATAACAAACAAATTAAGTTAGTTTTACACAAATATTTATTACTTTGATTAGTATTCACAAAAAGTAATAGCAAACTTAATATTACCAATGCCATTCTCTCTTTCTCTCTGGGTTTGATCCACAAACAGCTTGGTTTTCTTGGGAACATTTAACTTGATGTTCTGTGCAATAGGTGGACCAGCCGTCAAATCTTTTTCTTCAAATTTTGCTGTTCTTTTTAATATTTTGACATACAAGCCTCCACCTAAATTAAGAAATATTAATTTAGAAGTAAAAAGTAATATAATAATAAAAAGAGATATTGCAACTAATTTAGAAACTGAAACTTTGCATAGCTTTCGACAGTAAATTTAAGGGGGTAGGCTCCAGAAAAAACAAACTTCTTAATTAAAAGCTTTTATTGATTCATTTGTGTATATCTAAGTTAGGGTACTTGTAGGGAAATATTTCCATGCATCAGGGACTCTTTTGAAAATATGGTTGCCATGGCAACGGCGGCCATCTTGAAAAAAACATCCTTTTCTGGAGTTCTAAAATTTCATAAACTAACATAAATATCGGCTATATAACCATTGATCCTTCTTGTACTAACGCTAATAGAGTCAGCTGGCTAGTTTTTGTAACAGAAATCACTCTAGAAATATATTTTTTTTAATTTTCAAAATTTGGTGTGACGAAAATCCAATGAAAATAATGCTAAATTCAATGGAATTTCACCAAAATATTTTTTGAAAATTTGAAAAAAATATGTCTAGTTATTTTTCGGTTATAAAAATTAGCCAGCTGGCTCTATTGGTGTTAGTACAATAAAGATCAATGATTATATGGGCGATTTATATGTTACTTTAGGAAATTTTAGAACTCCACATCGGTAGTTTTTTCCAAGATGGCCGCCGTTTCCATGGCAACCATATTTTCAGAAGAGTCCCTGGTACATCTAAATATTTTTCCTTAAGTACCCTAACTTATACATACATAAATAAATGTAAAAGGCTTTTTAATTAAAAAGTTTTTTTCCCTGTTTTTTTCGGGAGCCTATCCCCTTAACTAGATTTACATCCAAACAGTATTTTAATTAAAGATGTTTTTTGATCTACAAATACTTAACTAAAACCTAAGCAAGCAATAGTTATACTCACGTTTAGCCGACATTATTAATGTTCCATCTTCCCTTCCAAATCTTCCAAAACGCATTCCTGTAACTACATCATCCATTTTCAAAATATCAACGAGGTATTTCTCCTTATAAATATGAACTTCTTGATTGCTAAGTGCAACTAAAACAGCAGTAAAACTTCTAGCTTTGAAGTCCATTGCTTCAATTGTAGTTATGCTGGCTGGCAAACGAACTGTCCATAGTTTTTTACCCTAAAAGTATTTTTTAAAATTAAAGAGTAAATAGAATTTTTAGCCCAAGGGTCTAGAGGGAAGCTTCAATTACCCAATAATTTAAAAATGAACTCATTTTAAAGGACTAGAGCATTCTGTTATTTTTTTTAAGGTATTTTATTCAATGATTGCACGAATATCCATGAATTTTTATCTCCAACCATTATTTTTTACAAATTTAAATTGTTTAAGACATCAATTAAGGATCAAGAGATCATATGAGCTCCAAGACTGGTACTTAAAGCTTAAATAAAAGTTTAGTGATGATAAAATTAAAAATATCTGTTCTTATACAATGAAATAGTCAACATACCTTTGACGTGAAGCAGTGTAAAGTCTCATCCATACAACCTACATAAATGTTTTTCCCAATCCTCTCCATCCCCACTGGTTGTGAGTTCAGTTCAATCAGGTTCCTGCTCACATCTGTGTTTCCTCTATTCAACATACAGTTGACAATGAAGATAGTGAAAAACAGGTTTTTATTTTTAAAATATTTAAAACTAATATGACAAAAGATCATTATTTTATTGTTCTTAAACTTCATTTCTTAATTAATAATTTGAAAGAGCTAGAAATAGGATTACCTTTTAACAGTATAAACACAACCATTCCTACATGAAACAACAATTCGGTAATCTACATCAAAGAGGCCATTGACACTTAAAAATACTGGAACACTTGGTAAATTTATCTGAGATAAATTGTAAAAAAAAGATGATGGATCTGTAAAAAATTATGCTGCATTACAAGCTACTACAAAAAGTTAAATTAGAAAAAGTTTATGACCATTTTAATTACTTTTTTAAAATGTGAAATTTCAAAAATTATTATCTCCATCTGAAATTCCTTTTCTTAAAATATCCCCATTAGACTATTTATTTATTACTAAAAATAAAAAAATATTTTTATGAGAATGTTAAAAATATTCATAAGCAATTAATTAACTGCAATGAAAAATAATCAGACTTACTGTAGCCAAAATAGAAAATGCTTCTGGATCTAATATGTAAATTGATTTACTCTCTGTTCCAAGCACCAAACAGCTAATTGCATCATCATCTGCTAATGACTTTTTCATAGTAGCAAGGCATGTCAGCACAGTCTAGAAATCATTAGAATCATACTAAAACCAAGACAGCTCATGTTAATCAAATACTAAGAAATACAGTATTAATAAAAACAAATAAACAGAAATGTGATTTCTGTAAGAAAATGATGATTTAAATATAGATAGCTAAAAGTCAGTGTGGTTGGACTGTGAAGTGCATGACAGCTAACCAAATAGTCTGAGGTGAGGGAAAGGAGGGTGGCTATCCCTTCAACTTCAAATGCAGTGGTCAGAAAAAAAGAAAGGAGGACCTCTAATTCATCTGCTCTATGAACTATCTGGCCTGAAAGCTTTCTTTACTTTTTTAAAAAGAGTACTTTACTTTTTAAAAAAAATTAATAACTTGTCAATAAATGTATCATACAAACTTAATAGCTTAACCTGAATACATTAATAATTTTATAAACTACATCAACATGTTGCAAACTTGTCTTAAAACTTAACATATAGATCTAGCATCAAATATAAAAACACACCTGCTTCTTTAAGGGTGTATTTTTGTGAAGGTTGACAAAATCATAAACATTATTGATATCCAACTGCAGTAGTTTCAATGATCTGACAGTCAATGAGCCTCCATCTTGTCTAGATAATGTAAACAATAAAAATAACATGGTGTTAAAAAACCTCATTGATAAAAAGCTAATTTAAAGAAGTGCAGAGTCTCACCTCAAAGTTTCAAGAATTTCTCGCATTTGATGAATATTAACTTGGTCCTGTTTAATGACAAAAAAGAGGATAGATCTAGATATTTTTAAAAATTATTTTTGTGCTAATAACCAACTTCATTTTTAAAATAATTTAGATCAAAGCATCAATGCAGGTAAATGATAAGAGCTTGGTTGAAAATTGTAAGTTATACCTCTTTTGCTTGATTCCACAAATCTTCTTCAACTGGATGAATTTCAAGTGGAGGAAGAGTAAACTTAAAATATGGGCGTAGATTCTTGTACACATAAATATATGGACCAGAGGCAACAGCAATAGCTAAAGAGAAATTTAAGAAAAACAATAATTTAATAGAATGGCAAAAGCTTTTCATTTAATTTTAATTAAGCTGATTATTTGACTATTATTTTTCTTTAATAACATCAATTAATTAATAAAGTAATAGAGAAAAATTCTGAACACACCTGGAGTTCGTGGTGTTAGAGTATCCATATAGAAAGTGACAACTCCAGTAGGCAAATCAATTATTGTATGCTCACTCATTAATGTTGTGTCTGAAAACAAATATCAATATTTAAATCAATTATTTCTGTCATCAATAAAAGTTACTCCATGCTTCCAAAATTTAAAATAATATCTTCTAAAAAACTAATACTGTACAAAGGTATGTCGGTATACTTTATTTAGAGAATAATTTTACATTTCATAAGTCTCAAATTAATTTATAACGAGTTATTTAGAGTTTGCATTAAATTTACTGTATAATAATATATAAATTTTAAAGTAAGTTGTAATAATGATGTTTCATTTATAAAAGTTGTTAAACTAAAAATAAGATTTAGCCTACTTTTGTATACTTTAAGTTTCATGTCATAACTCCCAGTGCCCAAATCAGCAACAATAAGTTTCCAGTCTCCATCTGCATGAATGTCAGACAATGTGAGACATTGTGTAAAGGTGTACAGAGAAGCCACAGGGTCATGATAGGCATCCAACCATTTATCACTACTTCCTGACCTGAGAAAATGTAGAGAATACCAATTCAGTATGGTTACACTTATGATAATAGAAACTAATTTTAAATATCGTAACCATATATTTGAAGTTTTAAATAAGCAAAACTTTGTAAAAGATTAAACATTTAAATGCCCATCGAAAATTACATTTAAATAGGCTGCTTTTGTTTTCTGTTCCTGAAAAAAGTTTTTAATTGGATCATTAATTAATCTAATATTGTCAGACAAGTAGATATGGCAGTAGATGGTTTCTTACAATTTTTTGAGATATAACCTATTTTTATGAGTTCTGTGTTTGAATGAGGGCCACATTTTTTCTGCGGGTGAACTGATTGCCCATTCTATAAAATATCTGGAATCACATGTTATATAAAGTTACGCTTGTTTTTCATTATATCTGGTGCGATTTTGCTTTGCTGAAGTGAGCTTTTTTGGGATTTACTATGGCCAAAAATTGAATGAGCTTAACACCTGGTTAAACAGACCTGATTTTTGGTCTGTGACGTGAAGCTTGCCTAAATAGCAGAATAGTGAGAAAAATATAGGTAATTTTGAGACTAGTGTAATGGAACCGAGTATATTAAAGAAAGCTGGTTATCACCATAGAAAACTCCATAGTGTAGTTAAATCTAATTGTGAATATTCTTCATTTTATTCTTAGTGTTGTGTATGGTGATTGGTTATTCTAAATGTAATGTATTAGATTTTCTAATAATAATATCTAAAATTTACTTAATTTTCAATTTCAACATGATCACTGAATGATAGACATCCATCTTTTTTTAAGTGGACACATTACATGTAGCAACATTAGACTTGTTTTTGTTGTTTAGATTTTTTACTCAAATCCAGTAGAGCATGAAGAAAGACATGAATTGAATATATAGATAATAGTAAGTAGGCCTATATTAAGTATATATATTACACACTACAACTACAATCAATTTAGTTAAAAAAAATCTAGTAAATTTTATGTGATGAAATTATGAACGAAGTGACTACTTGGAAGAAGATTTTTTCTCCCCAACGTCTCCACTTAGTCGGCAAAAGATAGCTCTGCGCATGCGCAGTGACCTATGGCTAGGGATAGAATTAGGGTTAGGGTTAGGGCTAAGGTTAGGATTAGGGTTAGGATTAGGGTTTGTGTTAGAGTTCTGCCGTTGTAAACACACGCATGCGCAGTACCATTGAAAACATCGCCGCAATGGCAAGTCGTAGTTTCTCTCCATTGTGCATGCATATCTTTTTCCGGCTAGCATCGGCCAATTATGAATGAATGAAAATGATGAATTAATTTAATTCACTGGATTGGAATGCCTTGCTTGCTTGTTATTGAACTTGCATGATATGAATTTTTTACAAATCACAATTTTTTCTAGAATTATTATTTAATTATTAATAATTATTTACAATAGGGCCTAATACTTTAACTTTTAACTAACTCTTACTAGTCTTCTTTCGATCTAGAATCTAGATTCTAGTCATCTAGATCTAGATGAAAACTGTAAGATAATTGTGGTATTTCAGATTTTTGACAAAATTACTAGATCTAGATCTAGTCTGTATATTGTTCTTACATTTTATGAGAGTGTTGGGTAAATAGATGGCAATGTTATTGATTTTTTAAATTTTTGTCCCTTTTAAGAGAAAATAATTTCACTCTTGGTTGCCGACGAAAACATTCGCCATCGCTTTTTAAATTCTAATTTTGAAAATCACAGCTCAAAACAAAACAAAGCAAAAGATTTTAAATTAATGGATTTAAAAAAACAACCAAGATTCTAATATTTATTTTTAAATTTATTATTATTATTTTACGAAATTAATCTGTTTGATTTTCAAACAGCAAAATATCATTTTATAATAAAGTTAAGATACATACAAGTTTTGTTTTGGGCAAAAATGAACGTCGTATTTTAATATTTACAAATGGCGCCGATTTAAAAATGTAAATAGTAAACAAACACCTAAGCTTTTAACTTAGGTTAAAGTTTAAATAGTTAAAAGTAGACTAAGAAGATATTAAGAAGCACAGTATAAGTATATAGATAGATAGCAATAAGGTAACTGTCTAAATTTAAATAATGGAGGCGAGCGAGTTGACGAGATTCCTTCTATAATGTAAAAAAATGTTGTTGACATGGAGTAAAAACGTGCTTTTACTTTTTAGATTTAGACCGTAAAAAAAATAAAAAATAAAAACTTAAGCCTAAAATTAATTTAGAAATTTTATATTTTTAGAATAAATGCTATAAAAGTTGCAAATCCAGAGAACTTGAAAATAATTTGTTGAGTTTAAGGCTACATTTCTATTTATTTTTATCAAGCCTAAGTTATAACCGGATGTTTCACTTTCGTAAGACAAATATTGATTGGCTGTACAGTAACTTAGTGATCGATAACTATTTGTTTACAAAACTTTGCAGATCAAGTTTTTAAATTACAATGCAAATTTAAAACCCCATGACCTAGTTTTCTATTTTTAGCTTACAATGTGTACAATAAAATCAATGGCGGCCTATCCAATAGCAGGATGCCATTGTTTATGTCGCCATTACACGTGAAAACCAAATTGTTTTTGCTTTTTTTTAAAATTTTATTTAGTTACCGAAAATATTAAAAACATCAAATACGTCCAATCTTTAGTAAAGTCCAAAAATAACCAGAAAGACAGGATTTTATAACCATATTAATTGTAACTACGCCGTGCAAGATTTTTAAATTAATTTATGCACCTCTCAAATACCTTTGAGACTTTTCTCGCTCGTGTCCATTAGAAACGAACTTGTCATAGCTACCCCTTCTTTTTTACTCTAGTCATTTTTTACTCTACTCACTACTGAGTACTCAGTACTCAGTAATATTAATATACTAAAATTTGTACTAACTAGTACTAGATAGTAGATCTAGTATTAATTAATTAATGATTAAGATTTCCATGCTATGATAAAGTAAAAACTCAAAATAGCAACAAGGAGAGGGGGTTAAGTCAAGTTTGTATTAGGCCGTTCAATTCACAGCTTCCGGGTTTATTTTGATGCTATCTCATTGCCCATGCACTTACTTAAATCTGCTACCAGTTTCGCTTTCACTATGCGGAAGAGGGATAAAACTAATGATTATGAAGCCATCAACAATTTTAGAAATCGGAACTATCCGTTTCCATTTAGGTCTGTTATTTAAGAATTGTCAAGTGTACTTTTGACCTACTTTATTTTTTTGTCTTGAAGCGGTGCCTTAGTGAAAGTAGCTCTAAGTATACTTGTCTTTCAGATCAAATAACTCTAAAATACAGCTAGTTCAATACCAAACCAGTCTACGTGAATACTAAACTTGAAAGCATTAGTTTTACACGCATTACAATTAACTGGTAATAATTTATTGTGTTTACGAGATGTGTTACGTGTAAATGATCACCATTCAATAATGGCATTTTATATAATCTTTTTGGTGTAAACGAAGCGCAGGAAAAAGTGTGCTGCCCCCCCCCCCCCCCCATATATAAAATGTTTACTAGTGTAAAATAAATAAATGATGAGCACTTGTTTTATTTTAATTATTCCTCCTCCCCCTGTATCAACAAAAGTTATTTTTGTAGATGTATATTTTTTTCTATATTCATACACAGGACTGACCACACAATTCGTTCATAAGCAGAGGTTACAGAAACAGGTGAACTCTTCTTCATCAGCTCTATTGACAGCCAGACCAGTAAGGGTAACGACTTTTTAGTGACATTATAGTTTTTATACTTATAGATTTCCCATGATACCATTGTTTATTGTTAAAAATATTTTAAATAGAATAATACATTTCCAAACCATTTTCAAACTTTAAAATAAAATGAAAATGTTAATGAATATGAAAGAAAAGTATGTTTTGAAATATATAATTCATATTTATTTCTAGGATTTTACCTATTTTAAGTTATTTATTGTCAAATCTGATTTCATTTACTAGATGGGTTTTGCCATTTTTATAAATAGTTGACAGACATGGGCCTTCTAAGAATATTCAGTCAGTTTTAAGGTCTTTCTAATTAGCTAAGTGTATCTAATTGCTTCACTTTTAATATTATTAACAAAGAACCATAACTCACACTGTTTCAACTAATATTCTTCCACCCTTATTAAAAAAGAAACCTTGATATTTAAAAAGTAGAAACTTTATTGTTTTACATTTTGGTTTATTAACAGATTGGAGTTTTTGTGAAAATCTTGACAGCTATTGGTAAAAACCATGTCCAATAGCACAGACTCTAGTTTAAAGGGTAAGCGCAAGAAAAAACTTCCTTCAAATGCCAATCCATTATTCACTCAGTGGCTTACAGAGTGGAAAAATGAAGCAGTAGAGAAAGGATGGAAGAGTGCACACACTTATTCAAAGGTATATTCTCGTTTTAAATAATTTGAAAATGTCACCCAAATGATAAAAAGAAAATGCCTACTCAACTACAACTACAAGTGAAAATTACATTTTAAATGCCTACTCAACTGCAAGTGAAAATTACAGTTTAAATAAATAAATCACAACAATTGATTAGATTGAATTAATCTTTATGCTTCCTCTTAACTTCGCAGGCATTGCAAACACTGAAAAAATTCCCGCTTCCTTTGGAATCTGGCAAAGACTGCAGGTTATTACAGAATTTTGGTAAGAGTTTGCATTCATTTTGTAAAATTTTAAAAACTTATTTGTCTTTTAAAATTGCAAAAAAATGGAATGCTACTAAAAATATTCTTTATATTTTTATCCTTTTAGGTGAAAAAATTTGCAAAATGTTAGATGAGAAATTGATTGAATACAAACGACAAGGTAGTTTTTGGTTATTATATTAAATTTCACAACTTGACTATAATCACTCAGTCAATATAACAGAATGTATTTTTATTTGATATTTGAAAATGACAGGCATTTCGGGCACGGTTCCCAATTCTTCAGCTGCAGTAACACATTTTACTGATGTAGATGAAGAGATACAACCACAAAATAATCTAGTAACAAGAAAAAAGATTATATTGCCCTCAAGTAAAGAAGGCAGGCTTTCGGTAGTTAATAAACCACAAGAAGTCATCAGCACCAAGTTTCAAGGTCCAAACATTATATCAAAAGTCTATGCACATAGTCTTCATCAAATTAGTGACAATTCTGACAGTGAAGCTGAAATTTCCCCTCCACCCAAAAAGGTAATATTAAATTTGTAAAAAGAACAAAAAGAACTTTTACTTCTTTAACCATCCAAATAATAATGTTTAAATTTAATTCAAATATCTTAACTATTTTTTTAAGAAACCTGCAAGATCTAAAGGAAAAGATTATGTACCAGCTTTTAGGTCTGGGGCGTATGCCTTAATTCTAACACTTTACAAGTATATGCAGGTTTGCCAAAATTTTACTTGTATTTTTTTTATATCATAGTGCTTTTAAAATTGTTGTGTTAAGTTAACAATCTTTTTATCTTTCATGTATAGTTAAATTTCCAGTATGAATACAAATAGATTACTGCAAGATTAAGCTATGATATAAATCCTGAATTATTTATTTTTAAAGGATCCTGAGTTCAAAGGTTATCTAACAAAGTCTGAGCTGTCACATGCAGCCCAACCACTGGCAGACAAGTCGTTTACAAAAGTGAGAAAATCTTGGTTTGTCACTATAGCTACTCTGTAAAACAGCATAAATTGTAGTATCTCCTTTCCAACTATCGAAATAAATAAAAAACATATAGTTAAGCAAACTGAGTTTTGAGACAAGAAGTGTAGTAGAAACTACACATAAGATTTTGTTAATGAGTAACCTTAATTTTGAATGAATGAGTAACAGTGGTAATTTTATAGGTGGAATACGTTTTTTTCTTTTTTTTGAATTTCAGCCAGATCCTGACAATAGATATACAGCTTGGTCATCTATGGGTACATTAATAAAGAAGGGATACATCATCAAATCTAACAGTCCTGCTAGGTTTATAAGAGTTATTTTTCTACTCTGATATCAATGAATCTGTTTCTGTCTATTATGTGCATGTATCATTCCCAAACTTTTAATTCTCATTTTTAATAGTTATTTTTAAAATAAAAGCAATCAAAATGTTAACATTTCCATAATTTATTTTTCAAATGTTCTCAAATTTTTTAAGATATTCCCTCACGGATGCTGGACATGCTCTTGGAGAAAAGCTAGACAGGGCAGAGAATGGAGAGATAGCAGAGACAAATGGTTCTAAAAATGTATCTGGTGACCAGAGGTTCTGCTCAGAGATTATTCAAGTTTCAAGATCTTCAGAAATTTTAAATTCAGGACCTGAGAACTCAGAACCAATACACAATACAGAAGCATTCAGTGTAAACAACGGGTATGGTAGTGAAGACGATGAAGAATTTAAAAGAGCAATATCTGAAAGCTTATTATCATATTCTCTTGAACTCTCACTAAATTCTGGCACCAGTACATCAGTTATGAGAAAAAACGGCAGTGATCTTGATCACCCATTTGCATCAAATAAAGTAGAAGGTGTTGTGGGTGGCCAGATAAATCACGATGACGTTTTTATAATAAGTGATGATGAAAATGATTTAGTTCCCAATGATGTTCCCATTACCAGTGTAGGCTGTGTAACGCCAGTCAAAGCTCATCAGAGAGTGCATGCCTTGTCTCCTTCACCTCCGGTCTACAGGACTTCGGCATTACAACCATCAATAGACACAAAGCTGACCATTACAGCAAACCAGCAGCAACATACAAATGGCAAGCTTCTTCTAAATGGCAATCACATAGATGAGATAGAAGTGTTCAGTGATTCTGATGATGTCATACCCAAACAAAGGGAGTGCATCAGTACTGACTTTGATGATGAGCTACCTGATCTAGATTTGCCACTCTTTAAAAGACTTTTGCAAAAAGGCACCATACAGTCAAATTTACTGCGAGTTCATGAAATAGATGATAATGACAAGCAGTCTTCTAATAAACTAGCTAGCAGTTTAAATACTATAAAATCAACAGAAAACCAAATAAATAATAGTGAATTAAAAGTAAAGACTTCTAATCTTAAGGAACATTCAAAATGTGTTGAATCCAGTTACTCATGTTCTGTTACAAACAAACACTTGACCAGTAAAGAAACATCCATCAACTTGCTATGTGAGGCACATGTGAATCCTGTTTGTTCCAAAAAGGCAATCAGCAGTAACACTGTTCAGTTCAAATCTGAACCACAACCAAAGGATATCAGCAATAACATCGCCCAGTTGAAGTTTACCAGCGTTTCACAACACGCCAAACAGCCAGTAGTGGTGCAGACACATGTTTCATCAGATAAATGTTTCACTGAACTAAGGCCGCAGTTAACTCCAGAATTTTCTTTGTACCCTGGTACATTTGATATCATTTTGTGCTTGGATAATAGAGAATTTTATGGGAGGTAAGCTCACACTTGTAAAAACAGAGTAGATTTTATGATCAATGCAACAGTGACTTTTTATTAAATGAAGTCATGTTTTTAAATAAATCAAAATCATAAATATTGTCACTATTGCCATCCATCTCTTCCTTTTTCATGATTTTTATAATTTGAACTGTATACATTTTATTGTGAACAATTTTTTCTATACAGTCGCGTGAAGATTTGTAGCTTCACATTTGATGTTAATTCATCAAGAAAACATTCACTCTATTGGTGGAGATTATTATCTGAGTTCACCTTGTAATAAAAGTTTACAGGTCCATCAATATAACTTTAATGGCAAGAATTTAAGGTGGTCTACCAAAATTCAACCTTTTTGGTCTTGGTGAAAGTAAAAAAACATTACTTCTTATTAATATGGAGGATATTTAATGAATGAGAAGTAGAATCTAAAAATACATTATTGGAACTGAAGGCATTGATACAAAATGATATGCTCCCTAACATACTTTACACTGTTAAAAAAGAAATTTAATTTTAAAACATTAGTAGAGCTATTGTTTGAAAATATTTAACTATGTACTTAAAATTGTGCAGTAAAAGCAGCAGCAAAACACTTCTCCCTGACCTGATGAAAAGTGGTGTTCAGTGTGACTTGAGGCTACTTCATGTGGGAGATCTCCTGTGGATAGCTCGTGAGAGAGTTGGACCACAGATCAATGGGTATAGTGTTGGTTTTTTTTTCCAGATTTTATTTAAGTAGTTTATAGATTACTATAACAATCCATGACTCAAAATTAAATCAGAAATGTATCAATGGACTACAAATAAAATGGTTTTATCTTCTCCTAAATAATAAAAACATTTTAAACCTTTGAACTGGCTTCAAATAATTTACCATCAAACCCTTCCACAAGACCAAATAAAGAGGAATAACTCACTTTAATTCACTGTTAAATTCTCAATATTTAAAGACCAAATAAAGAGGAATAACTCACGTTAATTCATTGTTTAATTCTCAATATTTAAAAACAAAAAAATATGTTCAATACAACATTAAATCAAAGCAAAAAAATGTACATTCAAACATAAAGCCACACAAAAAGAGACAAAGATGGAAAACTGAAATAACATACTATTAGTAGAGTATTATATTAAAACCAACTTTTAGCAGGCAGTTTTGGATTAGTGTCTGACTTACTGCATTTCCCACTGCTACAAGATATCAAGCAAAAAAAAAACAACACCTGTGTCTTGTAGACAAATAAAGGTCACTTACTAGATGAAGAATAAACATTTATAATAAACTTTCAGGACTCAAGGTAGAGAGTTGGTGTTAAACTACATCATAGAGAGAAAACGTTTGGATGATCTAGTGAGCAGCATAACTGATGGCCGCTTGAAGGAGCAAAAGGTACTGGGATAGACGTTATGATGCCTGCATTCTAAAGAATGCAATATTTAAAAAAAAAAATTTGTGACATTTACACCTTTTTTTTAAAAATACTGCATTTAAACTAGAATTAATATATTTTTTTCAGTTTCGGTTAAAACATTGCGGACTTCAAGAAAAAATTATTCTTATAGAAGAATATGGATCAATTAAAAACTTTAGCATTTCAGAAGAAAGAATCAAACAATCAATATTTAATTCACAAGTGAGTAACTTGTTTAATAAATTCACGACTATGTTTATTTGTTTAATTAATTAAATGCTCATGTATTTTATAAATTTGATTATTACTTGCATGTTTTTTATCCACTAGGTGATAGATGGATTTAAAGTCAAGAACTGTGCTGGTTCACAAGAAGCTGTAACCTATTTAACCATCATGACACAATTTCTGAAGTTACACTTTAGTGTAAGTGATCACATTTTTATTTAGGTATAGCTTACAATTAAGAATTCATAAATGCATGTTAACAAGGACTAGCTGGAAGATCTAAAATTATAAGAAAAATATGAAACTCAATTTTCAGAACAAAACACTTCATGCTGTATCATTAGATGCACTCAAAACAATTGATGGGAAACAACTCATTAAGAACAAAGAGCATTATTTAATTCCCTTTAGTGTCTTCAATGAAGCATCAGTAAAGCATAAGGTAAAAGATAATTCTATTTGAAATGACATATAGAGCCTTAAAAATCTGCAAAATAATTTTACTGCCGTATGGAGAGTTGTTAGCTTAGAAATTCTATATTTTCTGCTTCTAAATAATCATTTTCTTTGTCCCATTATATTTGAATAAAATATTTTAGATGTGCAAAATTTCAGGATTTAACAGTGAAAGAAATGTTTGCAAAACAGCTTATACAAATTCCAGGCGTATCTGCTGATAGGGCTAGATCAATAACAAATATATACCCCACATTGTCTCTGTAAGTACTACAAAAACAACTTGATATTCTATTATATTGATTATGTACAAATAATAACACATTTATTTAACAATGATTTAAGGCACACTTTTACATTACCACAATAATTATTTTTGTAGTTTGCTTGAGGCCTATGAGAAGTGTGCGAGTGACAAGGATAAAGAAAAACTTCTCTCATGCATTAAGTGTGGAAAAACTCAAAGGTGGGGGCTTCAAAATATTAACCAAAGATGTTACTAGAACTTGAAGTAATGCAATTCTTTTGCAAATCTTATTTTACTTAAGTAAAACTAGAACTATTCAGTGCATATTTTCTCATTCTTGTATATGTTGTATTAAATAGTCTTGCTGTTGGTAATTTAAAAAGCTACTATTTTAAATTTGCTTCAAAGCTAAAATAAACCGTTACGCGTTTTATACCATGTTTTTCTTTTTTCCAGGAATCTAGGAACATGTATCAGTCGAGTTTTATATTTACTTTATACAGAAAAAAACTCTTTGTCTTAATGAAGAAACAACTTATGTTGGTAATTAACTTATTTACAATCATTATTTTCACTTTTTGCATAATGTTATGTTTGAACTGTTAATTTGGAAAAAAAATTTCATATTTTGAAATATTGTTTTAATAAATGATTTTATGTTTGAACTGTTTGAAAAAGATTGTATATTCTGATTCATTATTTCAGTAATTAAAAAATTACTTTTAAAGAGTGCTTTTGTTTATTACAGTAGTTAATAAATGTAAAACATAAATGTTAAATACTTCAACCATAAATTAACAAAGAAATCATCCCACTTATAACTTACTTATTACTGCCCCTTATTTTAGTTTTCTTATTCCCATTTTTCACTTTATTATTTTAGTTTAATTTATAAATTCATATTTTTTATTTTTGTCATTCTAATTCATTTAATCATTATATTTTTGCTTTTATATTCTTTGATTATTTTCCTCATTACAAGACTTATTTGCCATTTTAAATGTTCGTGGATCAATTTAGTTTTACTGCTCTCAGTTGCTTATGTTTTTCCAATGCTGTCGAAGGGACTTAATCATATTGATTTTTAAAACTTGTTTTACGTATTCTTTTTGCTTTTATTTATTTGGATAAATTATGTCTTCCAAATCATTTCATTAACAAATGTTACTGATTATAATTGTTCTCTTTTATTTATTAAAACACTTTTACAGTAGACCAAGCAGATTTGATGCTGAGTCTGATATATACCTTGGGTCACTGAAGACTCCTGACTTCCAGCACCTCAGAGATGAGATGTTCCTAAGTTACATCTTTAGTAGAAAATGTCCCACCCATGTCTAAACTTACGGCTGTCAGCTGTCAACATAATCACTTGTACTTGATCTCTAGACCCTCCAGACCCTGTAACATTACCAGTTTCATTTTTGTCCATCAGTCAATGACATCAAACTGCTTTTTCATCACCTCCAATGTTACTATTTGGACCAATTCTGACTTTTCAAATGCTGCATTATATATATATATATATATATATATATATATATATATATATATATATATATATATATATATATATATATATATATATATATATATATATATATATATATATATATATATATATATACACATATATACATATATATATGTATGTATGTATGTATGTATGTATGTATGTATATATCTTTACACTGAGGTGACAGATGAGAGCTTGACTCATCCACTCTTCTTGACAATCTGTACAAAAAAGTAAAAACTCTCTAACTCTTTCAAAAACATCTTGTCCTACGATATTTTTCTTCAAGCACAAAAACTACCCACACTCCCAAACAAGCTGTTTTTAGCATCAATACTCCCAAGGTATTTTCTTGTGTTTTTTTAAAAGGTCCCTTTTATTCACTTCAACAAAATGCTACACAGTTTTAGTACTTTTATTATTCATGTTTATTCATGTTTCCACAATTTAACAAGGTAAACTACAAGCTAGCTAACTCAAAACAAGCCCCTTCACAGTCGTTCACTTGGGATAAACATACATAAACACAAGGGGTTAAACTCAACTCTCAACTGCACTATTCCCCATGTTATAGACTATTCTAACCTTCAACTGACCGTAACAATTATTATGTATCAATATATCTTCGTGTTGTCCCATCATGATTGGCGCTTGGCACCTTAGTCTTTATAATTTCCATTGGAGAAGTTTGGAAACTGTTTCAGCCTTTTGGTCAGTTTAGTCAGTTGTGATTTCCTACCAGCACTGGATGTTTAAACTGTGTCCTTACAAAAAAAACCCTCAACTTTAAACTGTCAATAAACCCTCATCCCTCTACTTGAGTTTTATAATGCTATATATCAGACTTTGGGGGTGGACCCATGTGTGACTTCATGGCTGTGATATGCACAAAGTATTTGTTGTATTGTCTCCTCTTTATTAATGCCCATCCCTTCCCCTGACTCATGTACATTAATTACTCATTGGCCTTATCCTTAGCTCCATGGTATCTGGCTTTTATAAATGCATAAAAATATCTTCAAACTTTTTATTTTTATTTTAATATCTAAATAGCAGAAATGTTTGGAATATGGAATGAATGTAGGACCACCTTAGAACATATGCAAAGTTTGAATGAACTTGTGTGGTAGAAGTGGGTGAGAATTAGGTGCAAGATAGAAACAGAATCAGAATTTAAAGCACCTCAGTTAATAATCAATCTTTTTGCTAAACATGGAAAAAGATGCAATAAATGAAGGGGGGGAGGGGTAGAAGATATATGTCACTGTCAAGCATGCCTCAACCTGTTACCAATCAAGTATATTTTTAGATGTGTGACCTTGTTTTTCTAGAACATGAATTATTTAATGTAAGCCATGTCTACAAATATGTTGACAAGCAGGTTAGACTCCATATCCACAAGAAAAAGACAAAAATAACAAAGATTAACGCTAACAAGTCACACTAAATGATGCCCCTTGGGAGATAGACAAGCTTTTACCTAGGTTGTACTCAGGATCCACTGCCTCAACACCATCAGCAATGCATGCATATGGGAAACTTTCCGCTGATGAAGAAATCAGGAAAAGCAGATAGGGTTGGATAAGGCACTCCACAGACCACCTCACCAAGTAGGCATTGAGCTGGAACCCACAAGGAAAGCGTAAAAGTGGTCAACCAAGAAATACCTGAGAACATGGCATTGAATCTCAATCTAAAAAGATGGGCTGCACCTGAAGTCAGGTTGAGAAGTTGGCACAGGACAGAGTGCTCTGAAGATCTTTGGTTGGTGGCCAATCTCCAGGAGGGTTGATAGGCAGTTGGCACTACATATTTTGGATCCTAGTTGTCAGGGCATGGGTTAGCCCTCACTACCACTCAGATACTCCCAGGGTATGAAAGCCCTGAGTGAGCATTGAACACCCTCTGCATAGGTGAGGTTGAACCACCTAAATCAGTGGCATCACAGAGTGCTTGTTGGAACCAATGGCTACATTACTACAATGGTGCCAGAGCAATAGCCTTTCTATTTTGTTATCAATTGTAGTAGCACACTGTATCCCTAGTGTAGGGCACTCTTTAAAATTAATATAGGCACCATAGTGCTCTTTCGTTAATCTGGGTCACATGACTGAAGCATTGCCAAAGGATGCCTATAATAATCCACTTTGATTGGTGATTCAAGTAGTACTCCTGACCACCTTTGCAGGACGCTCAGGCAACAGTACTCACGTTAACTAACCCAACCAGAGGTGTAACAACCCATTTCAGCACCCAGGACAAACTACCATTTTTGCGCTTCCCCCCCCCCCCCCCCTCATGTTTATAAATTAAATTACCTTGGCCCCCATCAATCACTGTTAATAGTTTTTTTTTCCAAATTACATATTATACAAGTAATGTTCTTAGAGTTAGAGCCAAGTAGCTTTCTATTTTCTTAATTTTGATTGTAATGCAGCTCAAAATAATATTTTTATTTTATTTTTCTACCTAATTTGGCGCTTACCCCTAAGGTCGGGGATGGCTGCCTCACTCGCCCTCCCCTAGTTATGCCGTAGCTCCCAACCGTACAGTATTGCGGGGGGGGGGGGAGGGGGGGGGCGCAGGGAAACATTATTTTATGTATACTCAACAATCTCCCAAAGTTTCATGGCCAGGATAAATGAATGGTGTGTTACTGGTAATGCATAAAAGACACACAGGCTACAATTATAAACAAGCATATGTTCATTATATATATATATATATATATATATATATATATATATATATATATATATATATATATGCCTATATAAATATATATGAACAAAAACATTTATTGCATTCCAACAAAGTAAGCTTGGATTTTTAATAGATCAACACTGAACTAAGTACATAAATTAGTACGGTCAACCTACAGAAATAGATACAACACCGTATAGGGCTTATGCCACGCCCACATTCTAAAATATTGTGTACGTAAGCAGCCTATGCAGTTGTAAATTATTTTTTTAAATTTCGATATTTTTTAATTCTGTACAAAACAGGCTTCTTTCATTTCTTAAAATAAAAGTTAATTTTCATATTTTATTAAAAAATTATTCTATTTTTTTTCAATGTTTATAAACATTATGCGAAACCACGTGAACGGAACACATGTCGAGGTTTGAGTGTGTAGGCCTGGCGAGCAAAGCCGTGATCTGAAGAAGCAAATAGACTAGAAAATAAAAATAATTTTTGATAGAGTGGATTTATTAACTCAAATATAGAGAATGAGTATGAGCGATGAAGACCGAGAAATCGACATTGAAAGTGATGCTGTAAGTTAAGTTCTGAACAGAATTGCAAATAAAACGGTTTTAAATAGTTTAGCAACATCTTCACATTGACCTAGATTTCCAAAATCTAGAGTCTAGAAAAAGTAGAATAAGGGGGGATTTTTTCTGTATACCACTACTATAGTGTCCGAAAATTAGAATCTTCTTAAAAAAGGGATGAAAGATTACTGGTAGTTAACTAAAATACATACATGGCATTACATGGCTTGCGAATGTCAATGCTAACCCCCAACACTAGTCAACTATGAACTAGTCCTACCAAAACGCCTAACCCCAATTAATCTAATTAACTATTTCTGAACTATTTCATTAGGCCCAGGGCCTATTATTAATTAATTAATAATTATTAAGTTAAAATTTCAATTTCCAACCATCCATCTAGATTAGATCTAGACTAGTTGAGATTACAAATTTTACTAACAACCCAACACACCTATTTTTTATTGGGAGAGTAGATTATAGTATAGTATTATGATATTTTATGATATTATCAGTAGGCCTAAAATCATTACCTATTCTAAAATTCAAGATCTAGAGTAAGAGTTAGACTCTTAGAGAGTCTAACAATTAACAATAGTCTACAAAAAACTACATCAACTTAACATTTAAAGCAGGGGTCTCAAAACTACGGCCCGCTGGCCGGATGCGGCCTGCTGGTTGGTTGAGGCCACGCAGGGGGGACGATCTGACCGAGATTCAAAGGGTCGATTCTAAATATCATCCGACCCCTGATTTAAAGACTTAGATATTAGTATTATTAGCCACTGACCCAGTCCTCAATTATTTAATTTATTAGGCCTACTTTTAGATACTTTAACTTTAGTTATTAGAAGTACTAACTAGTATCTAGATCTGGTAAGTAGTTAATTTCACTATCAATATAGATCTAGATAGAATATCTATTTTAACTTTAAGTAAAGTACTAAGTAGGCTTAGGCCCTTGTATTTTGTTATTGTTTTCTTCTGTTATATTAATTAGGCCTATAGGTCATAATATTCTCTTACTAATTTATAGGCCTATTATATAGGCCTAAATATATCTCTTAAATGTCCAAATAGTGTATCAAAGTATCAATGATGGAAACATATTTTTTTTTATTAAACAGGATGATGAAGAAAGCCCACAGACTTTCAGTTCAGTAAGTTACTCTTTTGTAAATTAAATAATCTGTTAAAAACTAATGATGAAAGATAATGTGAAATGAAAAACACAAATTTCTTCACAGGATGACAAAAGAGCACACCATAATGCATTAGAAAGGAAAAGAAGAGATCACATAAAGGACAGTTTCCACAGCCTTCGAGATTGTGTACCTCAAGATGATAATAAGGTAATTACAAATCAATAGGGGATTGCATGGACAAAAATATCACAAATAAAATTTTTGAGAAAATAGATACACTTATTTTCTTGTCCTGAGAAAAAAAGCATTTGCGATATGTAAGAATTATAAATAATTTCCTGTTACCTTTAAATGAATTTCTCATATCAGAGAATAAAGTGGCAACTCCTATTTTTTAATCAAATCATTCACATATATGTAAAATAATTAGTGTTACTTTTTAAAAAAAAACCTCACCATATTGATTTGCAGTTTCTTTTTTTATTGCAGACTAACTCCTCTAGCAAGGTAATAATATTTAAATAAACTACACTTTAACTAATCCTTTACAGATGTGACTAAACTGCCACACCTGCCTACTTTTTAATTCTAATTTTATGACAAAGTAAAATATATTCTACACAATTTATGACTTGACTTTGAAAAGTAATTTTATCTTTATATGAAAGAACTACCAGAATTGTTACATTACAGTTAAATTAAGACTTATAAAAACATTGAAAAGCTAAAAACATTTTTAGTAGTTTTGCTAACAGCGTTTTTTCTACTTTTTTATACGTCATTTGTTCTTTTTGGACCAGTGTTGCTATAGTATATTTCTGAAAGCTCACCATTTGCTGTTTGCAGTAGTATTATAATTCTTTAAATGATTTTATATAATAAATTGTCCATATCCTTATTAGGTTAGTATATTGTAATGTGTTTAATAACATAATAGCCGATAATAGTGGATTAGGTGTAAGTCAGAGACCAAGGATAATGACAATCTCAGTTAGAAATTAGGTGATTAGATCTGCATTAAGATGGGAAAGTTTTGTATGGTTTTTGTAATTATCAAGCTATCTTCAAGGATCGTCCTGTAAAGTCAAGTGCAAGTAAGAATATATCAAGTCTGGTTGGTTACTGAATTAATGTCGACTGCTAAGTATTCATGTGTCTCTCTTTGTAAAAGATTGAAGCTGTATTGTTTGTTGTACTAAGTGTTAACATCACTTTAAAAAATTTTTGTAGACTTCCCGTGCACAAATTTTGAGACAAGCTGCTGAATACATCATAAGAATGAGAGACAAAACTACACAGAATGACAGGCATATAACAATACTTAAACAACAAAATGAAGACTTGCAAGCTCAAAGTAAGATGTCATTTTTAATTTGTCCTTACTCACCATTGCATGTTCACATGAAATTTACAAATTTTTCAAATAATTTCAGTCAAAGCTCTACAAAAATCTCAGTCTGGGGGCAAATCAGTTTTGAGTACCAGTTACATGGATGATGATAGAGGAGATGATTATGAAAGCTATGAAGAGGAGACAGTAGTAACATCACCACCCATAAAACGCAAAAAGGCAAAGACATCAAATAGCTGAAAGGTTTTAATGGTTTTTGTTTTGAAATATGTTGTATCTCAGTGGTGGTTGGACTTGATTGAGAGGTGGGTGATGTTTCCCTAAAAAGTAGTACATTGATGTCCATTAGCTTATACTTATAACAATGTGTGTAAGGCAATTTTTTCTGTATGTCAAAATCTAAAGATTTTTCTAAAATACTTGTATTTTTTGTCATTCAAATGTATTTTCTCTCCAATTTGTCTATAGTGCTTATTAAAACTCATCTAATCTTATGACAAGTTAACAGAAAATAACTTTTGGTTAATGACCTTGAAGAAATGCCAAAACTTGCCATATGTTTTAATGATACAGTTTTTAAAAGTTTAAACTGAAGTGTTCTAACTTTATGATGGAGAATGTTAAAATTTTAAATTATTACATTATTGTGGAGGCAAAACAAGTTTTTTTTTTCTTTCTTTTTGGAAACTTTCTTAGTTTGATATTTAAACACAAAAATAATTTGGGGGGCATACACAATTTCTTTAAGGTATGCTTTTAGTTATCGAAATTGCTCGAAATTAGTATTGTGTGTGTGTAGTGTTCCTTTTCATACTAAGTATGAATCAAGGAAAAAAGTTTTCTAACATCTTTAGGTCATCTAGACAATTACTTAGATCATTCTCATTTTGAGGTGTCTGTTATGTATTAAGATTGACAAGAGCCTTTAATTGACCTAGATAGTTCCATCTGGTGTGAAGATAGTGATAGTTTTCTAGTTATACAATTCTATTAGTACTAACTCATGTGACTCAACGCACAATCTTCTCATCAGTGAAAAATTGACAAAAAACACTCAATAATAGCCACTTGAACTTGAATGTGTCCATAAAAAATAAATTTGGATTACGCTTACTTTTTTTCTTTTGTATCTTCCCTTGGTTAATGTAAATTGCTCATTGTAGTAAAGAATTGTAAAATAGGTTTTGGCAATATCATTTAATTGTAATCTAGCTGTAACATCAAGTAATTAAAAAAATTTGAAATTTAATACTTTAATATAATTTATATTAAGATATTGAATTTTAAGGAATGAAAAATTGCATGTTTTTAAACTTATATATGCATAACAAAAAAAAGCTATGATTATGTTCATTTTGAGGTAGATTTTCTTGATTATACCCTTACTTTGTGGATGTATGGTTCATTGTCAGTCAGCATTCTTGTCTGCTATTTTAAAGCAAATGCCAGTTGAGAGAAAAATGTGAATGCTGAGTTGGGTAGGGGGAGGGTATTCTGAACAATATTTAAATCATTAATAGTGAAATGTTTTTGTTGATTGATTTTAATAAAATTAAAAGGGTTTTAATGCTGATGAATCATGTCCCAAATGTGGAGTAGGAATGAAGACTTGTTTTAAAAAGTAATTATACCCCGTGTTATGGTAGTTATTCCTACTTGAGGGTTGTATATAATACATGTGAAATTATTCACATGCTTGGCAGCTTTTTTTTTTGTTGTTGTTTTCATTATTCATGTGTGATAAATATGCACAGTGTCTTTTTCCCCACTGAAACAGAATGTCTTAACCCGATCTTGTGTTAGCATAGGCCTTTTTAAAAAAAAATAATTATCAATCTTAATTATTACCTTTAATTTTTACTTGACCTAATGACTTACATTTGATATGCAGAGAAAAAAAAATTTAAAATTGATATTTTTTAATAAAGTTGTAGTGTTATGTTGAAGTGTGCTCTGATATTGTGCTGACAATAAATAATTCTATACTTAGTTACTTTGATGACTTGTAGGTTAAAACAGCTGATCTGAATGTGTTAGTATATCTATTATTTGTTCTCAATAAACTGTGTACATTTCTTTGTTCTCACTTAACACTCTGCATGAAAGTTATGTATGAACTGGAGTTGTATTTGCCTTGGGTGTCATTAAAGTAATATAAAGAGTACAATGCCAAAAATACTGATGGATTTTTCAAGATGTTTATTGTACACAACAAATGAATAAAAGCTGGATATTTTATAAATGGTTACAAATATAAGCCCATAAAAATTCAGTTAGAAATAATTTTATGAAATTGGTGCAACATATAGATGGTAACTAATTTGCTGAAAAGTTGTATCAGATAAAATTTAATACTGCTGGTGATTTTCTTGTACAGACCGAGAATGATAACATTATGATGAGCAGGGGATAAAACAACTTATCAGAACCGGAGTAGGAGACATCTTTACTAGTACAATTGCAATATAAATTGTCCTTAAAGACAACAAAGTGCATTAACTAACTGCCTACAATTCTAAAAAAAAATAAGTTTACCAATAATGGTCTTCAATATGATAGATTAGAAAAAGATAAAAATCTGGATCCAAATAGGTACAAAATTTGACATTTTTTAAAAAAGTGCAGGACCATAATCAGCAAAATCTTTCAACTTTCACAGACTTTTTTGTTTCAAGCATGTTCCCTATTTCATAAATGTACATTTTAAATTATGAATTGCCATGCATAGCAGTTGAAGATTTTAAATTGCCAAAGTATTTTTGAGCCATCATAACAGAATCTAGACTCAGGTTGTAAACTGGCTGAACAGGTCGCTGAAAATAAAATTTAAAATGGTTTTAGAGATGAAAATGTAAACAGCTAGTTATGCGGTATGTGAAAAGGTGGTATGCTTTGTTCAGTTTAACAAACATGACAATCACCTGCTGTCCATTGAATATAGACCTATATAGGTATAAAGTATATGACAGGTTTGATTTTCTTTCTTAATTGTGCTATGCACAAGACAGAACTATGCAGCAAATAGATAATATTGTTAGGGAGGACTGTGTTTGGGAATCATAATTTTTAAAAGTAAACACTTTTTTTTAACTTACAAGTTTATTGTGTGGATTGCCAATGACAACATCGTTATTCAAAGATCCTCCAATGAAATGCTGGGCCACTGATAGGCCACTCAAACAATAACACGTGTGATAGTGGTCTCTTGCCCTAAATAACACAAATATTTCTTGGATTGTTTTAAATCAGTGCTAACTCTTTAATTTTTAAAAATACAAACAAGTTGCTAGTGTATTTTTTTCATTGAAGACATCTTAAACCATTGACAAAACTTACTTTCCTGGCTTGTCTATGAGCCCTCCATGAGGATGTTGACAACAGATAAGAATATACTCCTGTAGAGCTTCTTGGTGGAACATCCATCTCTCAGCACTAAGATTCTGATCATCATCTTAATTACATGTTCCAGAAAATATGTTAAATCTTAATTGATAAAACCATAAAATATGTTAAATCTTAATTAAAACATTCTTAAAAAAGGGTTGTTGTGCCATAAAAAAGTGGACCACAAAGCTAGATATGTCATTACTAAATCCTACCATCTGTGCACATGATCATGTGAATGATGGGGAAAGTTGCTCCCTGCCAGAAAGAATAACATCCATCCACTAATTTATTTGTACGTCCCTGAAAGCCACCTTCAAATTGAGTTTGCCTGTTTGCTGTCCAACGCTGAAACAAATGCAGTTAGTTGACAACACGCTGACATTTTAATAAATCAGATTAGTTTTTTATTTAAATAAAAGATCACAAAAGACTTTTTATCATTACAGTTACATTATTATCTATTCAACTAAAGCAATGGTGATGGTAGCTGCAGACACATAGACAACTCAGCAAAAGTAAGGACAATAACTTTACCAAAAGGGACCTTAGATCACATCTTTCTGTGTGTCCCAGAAGAACAAGTGCTGCCACCCCACAGAATGTGTAACCACCATGTGCTTCTAATCCAGGATAGCCAGCAAAGCCCCCTTCATAAGTTTGACATCTAAGAAAAAATAAAACACCATGAGTGAGCGAGCACAAATTGTAATAGTGCAAGAATTCTTTCAAATACCTGTTATATTAACACACCCTAAGAATAAAATAGTTGTTAACTAAAAATTGTGTTGGGTATGTAGGCCTACCTAGTAATAAATTCAGCAGTACCAGATGTTAGTTCCTGTGTCATTAAATTGGTCAGCCGTGCAACACTGAGAGCACAGTACACTCCCCTGAAACAGTCAAATTTTATGATAAAACAGTTTGGCATTGATAATAGTAAACAAGATCAAAGAAGAATTTAAGTCCAGATATTGTTGTGTGTAGAAGTTGACATGAAACTAATGTAAACACCAACCTGATATCTACTTCTCCTCCTTCATGCATTTTAAAAGCACCTTCCTCAGTTTTCATTTTCATTAAAAATTTATATAAAGTATCTCTGAAACACAAAATGTTCATACTTTTAAAATGTGAGAGCAACAGAAAATTACTGGCTGCATATAGCTGGGAACAATGACTACTTTAATCTAAATTAATTAAAGTCATCTAATGTTGATTACAGGCAATTAATTTCACTGTTCAACAAGAACAACACACTACAAAGCACAAACCTATTTAGTACATCAAACACTTTCTCAGTGATGTTGGCAAGAATGCACAGAGCATTAACAGCAGCATATGTTGGTGCCAGATGAGGAAACTGCATGGGGCCCCCTACATTACAAAGTTAGGGAAGCATAATACCACAGATGTAATTAAAAGTTATTAATGAATAATACTTTTCATTTATAATAATATGGGCAAGTTAATCTTAATTTGGATATTACAAACTAATAATGAATTATTCATAATCAGTCTTTTAGCAGATTCCCCCCATTCCCAACTTGATCAGCACTGAATACAAAAAGCTTGCTTTGGATTTCCAGCCTTAATACCTACAGATTAAGCAAAATTTTTTATCCTGTTTGTTTATTAGAAATACAAAATGTATATGGATGTTTTAATTTTAATAACACAAACACATTGCAAATCCTCATTAGTCAGAATCCCTCACCCATAAACATATGACATCATTTATGACCAAACCTCTAACACTTCAAGGGTGTAAAATATGTAAAAAAAAAAAGGGTGTGAAATATAGTAAAATATGTGAAATAGCTCAATGCTTAAAAATGTTATATTATCATTATTATTTCACATTTACAATGAAAGCAAACAAAAAATACCTCCAAATCCACCATCTGGGTGCTGACACTTTCCAAGAAATTTGGCAATCCTGGGGAAAAAAAATAACACACAAATAGTATTTTTATATGGTGGCTCTATATGCCATATGTGAAAGTAACTTATAAACAAAAATGTTGCATCAAGGTCTCACACATTGAACACTTACGCCAGAGCCCTATCCTCAGGCAAAGGAACATCAAGTAATTCCAGACTGTGTAAAATCCAATAACATAGCCATGGGCGGCTTGAATCTAAACACTTAAAATGAGGTTTAAAAGTAATTAATTGAATAAATACATATGCAAAATAAATACTGATTTATTAAAAATAGATTTAGCCTACTACACATAACCTATGTTAGTCAAGGTAAAAACATATGACTGATCAATTCTAAGTGCCAGTACCTCATAAGAAGATGACAGAAGCTGTAGACCTTTGGTAAGAAACTCCACATGATTCTCTCTCTCTAAGAAAGGCACACTGAAAAAAAATTTAGGCCTTACATTCATTTCTACCCTATTAAAAGTATGGTTTTAAATTAGACTTGTAGTTAAAAATACTGATTTTAAGGTACTTAAAGAAAGAATATCACTATAACTTACTATAAATATTTAAATATTTACAATTCATTTTCACCTTTTAGTTAAGTGGAAATAAAAAACACTTACTCTGGATAAATATCTAAAGATGTCTTAAAAGTCTTGTAGCATTTCATAACAATTTCCTCAACTTGTTTCTGAAAAGAGTTTTTTTTTTTTTTTTTTTTTACATTGATTGATTTTTAAAGCTTATTTTAGAGGAGCTAATAGGTTTTATGCATATAAAAATTATATTTGATTTTGGGTATTTTCTCTAATGTTAGCCTCTCCTTTTAAAAGTAGTCACTATATTTAGGCCACATTGACATTATTATTACACTTTTCATCCTCGCTTTTGATATGTTGTGTTATAGAGCTAAGTATTGTTTTGAATACCATTAGTAGGTTAATATTATTTCACAATGTAATTGCATATTAATAATGTATTTTTTAATATTTTGTATTGTTTATCTTTTTAAAAAATGTATTTCATTTACTCTATTTTTGTAGGTTTATAGACATATTTAATGATTTTTTAAAAATAGAGGACTGTTGACTATTCTATAGAATTATTTGCCCACTAAACTTTTAACTGTATTTGCTAATTGTATAACTATACTTTTTATGATTCTATGGCTGCTTTCAGACAGTCCTAACAAGTTTTAAATATTGTTGAATGTGTCACACTTTATAGAAAATGTAGCTTGTAGTCAATAGTGTATGTCTAGTAAATGCTAAAAATACCCTCAAATACCTGAGAACAGAAAGTTTGAGTTTATAGGCCTACATAATAGTCAGATCTAATTAATTACTGCAGGCCAAAGACAAAGTCAGCCTGGCCTGTTTCACTATTTAATATTTATTGGCAATACCTCTTACACTCAAGCTACAAGTACTAGACTAAAATAACTAAACTAGAATCTAGTTAGTGTTATTCAGTTACTGAGTTAGTAGGCCCTATGTCACCCTATGCCTATGATGATTATGATAGACATGCCCTTTTGCCTTTAGTAATTAAACTTAGTTAAGTATTAACGATTAACAAATAAGATGGCCAGACTAAATATCAAACAAAGACCTGTGGCAAATTTCAAAACAACAGCCAATAAATAAGGATATCAAGGCCCGTAAATGGGGATGGATTGGACACACGCTAAGAAGAGAAAAAGATAATATTGCAAAACATGCTATGGACTGGAATCCCTAGGGAAAAATGAAAGTGGGCCGGCCAAAGAAAACATGGAAAAGAAACAGTAGAGGAAGAGGCTAAGACAGCTGGGCTCATGTGGGCACAGATTAAGGGAGCAGCCCAAAACCGAGTCCGCTGGAAATGTGTAATTGCAGCCCTTTGCTTCCCAGAGGCCACAAAGGAATGATGAAGATATAAATTATAACTATTTTTACTATGTCATTAAGTGACATTAATGATCATTAATGTCACATTATTAAGTCTATTTCATTGACATATGTCTATGATTTAATTAGGAGAATCTAATTACAATTAGAGTTCCTAAATTAAGCAGTAGGCCTATTTGATACGTTTAGTTTTAGTTACCTGTTCCATTGAAGTTTTTGTTGAAAGAGTTTCATCATTAAATCGACGGCTTTCAAATTGTGGCGACAGGCAACGAAATCTTGATGGATCTGCCATTTATGACTGATAAGTAAGTAACTGCAGACTAGGTTCTGTAGGTAACTTAGAAAATTTCTTGTAGACCTATTAATATTAGTTAAACTACCTACAATCCTACAAACTTCTGTCAGTATACTCTACAGTACACAGAGTAGTATACAATACAAACACACCAAAGCAGCCTTTCATCAAAGATGATAGCGTTTTTCGTTTAATAATTATCATTCCATTTTTTTATCCACAAAAAGGGGAACTACTCTACTTGACTAATGATATTGACAACACATCAACGTAAAAATTAACAAAACTTTATTACTATTTTCTGCATTAGGTCAATTTTAATACTAGATTTAGATCTCTAGATCTAGCGTAGCTTTAAAAAATGACAGTTGACGTCGCAAATAAAACATTTACATTGCCATCTGGACCTGCAACTCTATGTTTTGATAAAGAAGAGTTTATGAAGGTAGACTAGGCTAGATCTTAAATTTTAAATTTTGTAATTTGTAAATTAATTCAATACTAAATTAAATTCATGTAAATTAAACTTAAACATTTGGGTAATCTATCGTTTTAGGTATGTATAATCGCCCGCGACTAGTAATGTGAAAAACAGGTGACTCCTTAAATTTTAATAATTATTTCACATTTTGAGGAGGATTTATGTTTTGAAAAATACAAAAATGTTCCTTGTTTCATTTATTATTTTTATGTACCTGTTTTTAAACAATTGAATTAAAACTTTTCAGTAATAAATGAAAACTGGTGATGTTTCCAACAGATGCAACCATGCTCATTTACTATAACATCCATCTTGTTTTGTTTTTTTTTAATTGTAAACTTATAGCGCAAGATTCAGGGTAAGCCACTCTAACTTACAGATGGCCGCTTTTTATATAGCAAATCCTGCTCGCAAACACTGCTGTTTAAAGTTAATTTCTTGCCTTTATTGATATATTTAGCCATTGATTTAGGTTTATTATTCATTTATCTATAATATTTGACACAAATATATCACAATATACTATATACTTCTATTAAAGTAAAGCCTTGACAATGAGGTAACTTTTTCGTACATTACTAGCCGCGGGCGATTTTACGTACCTAAAACGATTGATTACCAACATTTGTGATCAGTCATGTCATAGATTTTAGATCTATACTCTATAGGCCTATGACTGTATTGTATGAATAAATGAGCATAGAGTTTAACTAGAATAATAAATAGAACATTGTAGGGTATAGCAGGACACTAGGCACTATACTATTATAATTATTTATTAACTATTTACTATTTGGCCTCAGTGGGTACCCTACGCTCTCAAAAACACCTTTAAAACTGCTAATCTACTTCTGAAGTAACAGCCACTGCTGTTCTTTGATAATAGAGAAGCAAAGGATTCATCTTATAATCTTATGTAATTTATACCCTACTTGGCCCAACAGTAGAGATAGCACGTTATGTCATATATAACCATCATGGTCCAGCAGGGAGGAGATTAAGAGGAGACCAAAAGACTGAAGGCCCTATGTAGACCTATAATTGTGTAAAATGTTGACTGGGTCCAAAGGGTATCATTTAAAATTTAAAGTGGGTGTACACAGCTTAAACTTAAACTATTTTGGGATTAGAAACAAATCATTTTTATCATGGAGTTAGGTTAAACTAGAAGTTATTACTTAATCCCCATCGTCCGGCTCTGTGTGCCCAAAATGCTGATATTTGGGGTATGGCTAAGAATACAAAATTTAAACTAAATTTAATAGCCTTTTTTATGACTTTTATATTGTAGTATTGTAATATTTTTAATATTAGAAAATACTTGAATTAGTAGAAATCTTTAAAAATGTACGGGTGCTAAAAAGTGTGGTGCATGGTGCCCTGCTTTTGCTTGATTAAATCACGCATCTCACAAAATGTACTAACTTTGCATTCTTATTTTTTTAGAAAGACTTTGAAGTTGACAAGTTCATTATGGATTGTAAAAAAAAGGTTCCACTTGAAACCTTACGTGACGACCTAGATCTATATTTAAAAGTCATCAGAAGTGCAATGATTGAACTCATTAATAAAGATTATGCTGATTTTGTAAACTTATCAACTAACTTGGTAATCATTATTAATCATTATTAAAAACAGTCTTAAAAAAAAGTACCGGGTAGTTAAGTAATTTTTTATCTGTAGATTAAGGCTGTTTTGTTTAGTCTGTCTTAAAAGTGCTTTTGTTTGACAGGTTGGAATGGATAAAGCTATAACAAATTTAACAACCCCACTTGGTCAGCTTAAAGAAGAAGTTTTGGTAAGTTTTGTGTGGTGTTTAAATGTTGATTAAAACTAGATTTTAGTATTGTATCAAATAAAATCACAATCAGTTTTTCAAATTCTTTTTAGAGTGTCCAAACAGCAATGGATGAAGCCATCAAAGGTGTACAAGAGAAGATCAGACAACAGCAGGAAATACAGAGAAAAAAGGTTTTTACCAAATATTTTATGTTTTTCTGATAAAAGAAAAAAAATGTTTGAAATGTTTTATTCTTAAAAATGTATTTGATTGAATGTATTACATTTTTTTAGGCTGTGCTACAAAGGTTAATGAACATAACAGCTTCTGTAGAAAAAATAGAAAAACTGCTTGGAATAAAACAAGGCACAGATACAGACACTCCTGGGTATAAAGATTTGTTTTTTTTTTTACTTAAATTTTATTTGATAGAGATAGGTTTATTGAAATCTTTATTCATTTAGGTTGTTATTTACCTGAATGCAATTTTTTAGTTAAACACAAAGACATACTAGTTACAAATATTTAATTATTACCCTATCAAGTGAACTGACTGGACCATTGATAGAACGTGTTGCAACAGAATTTAACAAACTTCAGTTTTATGTTACAAGAAGCAAAGGACTGCCACTGGTAGATAAAGTTAAACCTGTGAGTACATTGTCTAAACATTCAATTTTACTGTTAAGCCAAGACCTTTAAATATATTTCTGCACTAAATTCTACTGTTCTTGAACTATTATAATAATTTAATTGCCATTAAAAGAATTGCAATAATTTTTTTAGCGCATAGCAGCAATAACGACTACTCTACAATTCAGTCTTGAGGGCTCATTCTTGTCTGGGCTTGAGACAGAAAATGCTGGAATGTTGCGGCAGTGTCTAAGAACATATGCACTCATAGATAAAACTCATGATGCTGAGAGTTTATTTCAAGAGCATATTGTTCATCCTTATATGGAAGAAGTAAGTTTACTGATCTCACATTTTTTAAAAGCAAGATTATCCAAATACCAGGGATTTTAGTTTAGAAGAAAAGTAAATTTACATAATTCTTTACTAATTTTTGTGTGAAAAAAAAACATAATAATTTGTTTACAATTTTGAACCTGTGATAATGAGCTAGGTGGTACCTCATGTTTAATATTTTGTTTTAAAAACTAGAACTGATTACTCCCCCACCCCAAAGTACAACTACCCTTTTGAGTTCCTTTGTTTTACAGGTAATTAGTGAAGAATTTTTGAGACATCACAACAAAGATATATCAGTAATGTTTGATCATATAGTGGCTTTCTTCCCTGAAAAATGTTCCATCCTCACTGGCATTACAACAGGGACCAGGCAAGTGTATCTTGAATCAGTTTCAGCTTTGTTTTATTTATAATTGTAGCTTTTACCTACAACTCTTAATTGTATCAACTGATATCTGTGTTTCAGTGGAGACATTGTTAGGGGATATGACTTTATAGTGAACGCTGTATTGCCTGAAGTGGTCAAGAATCTAGAACTCAAGACACCATCTATATTTGCACCAGGAAATCCTGATGTTTTCCACAAAGTAAAACTTATTTGTGTGTTGTTATATGACGCCTGTTTTTAGAATTTATTTAGAAATGTTTTTATCATACTGGCACTTACTCAACTGCATTTAACTCCTTCTTATACATAGAAATACAATGCATGCATGAAGTTTCTGGATGATTTTGAGCAATGCTGTGGCTCTTTGGCCAGTGTGAAACGTCTCAGACAACATCCAAGTTATAGTTCACTTCTTGGAAAATGGAGTTTACCTGTCTATTTTCAGATTAGGTCTGTTTACCTTGGTTTTTCAAACTTGAACATATAAATATTAGTGGTAAATTAATGCGAAGATAGCAAACTTTGGTTGTAATTACTGAACATTGTTCTAAAAACTTCTATTAGGTTTCAAGACATTGCTGGATCCTTTGAAACCTCCTTAGCTACTGGTTTTAATAATGTTCAAGGTTTGTGATTGTCTCTTTTAAAAATGCAATAGTTTTTAAAATAGTAACACAATCATAGCTAAAATATTATGTTTGAATATTCAATGTGAGAGTGACAACACCTAACTCTGATGGTCAGTAATGAAAGCTAAGTAGGTAAAGGCAATTGTGCATTTTGTTATCTGAGATATTTGTTTTCGATCAGCGGCCTTAAAATAAAGATGAGGTCTATTAGTACTATTACTAAAAAATGTTTCTTTTGTTAAACATTTTTTGTTGGATTGTGCCAATGAAGTTGATCCCAGAATAAAAAATATTTTCTCTGTTCTAGGAGATTTTCACCTTCAGTCTTCCAATGCCCTGTGGACATGTTTGAATTGGTGCTGGAGAGAGGATATTTTCTTACCAGCTTTAACTCACAGGTACACACTTTGGTTAACTGGTGTCTTAGCTGCTGGCTCATGTCATATGTGTCGAAGTTGCTGCAGTATTTTGTGATTTGCGTCATAGCTAGTGAAGTTTTTTTTAAGTTGTTTATTCGCTAGTGCAGTGTTTTAATCTAATAATGTCATATCTAATGGAATTTTTTATCTTAATTTGTTCTTTTCAACAGATTTGTAAAACTAAATCTTCAACTACTTTCACGTTACAAAACATGGCTTAATGAAGTTTATCAAGAAGAGGTAAATAAAAATGCATTCAACTTCTGCTATAAATATTTGTTCTCCATTTCCCTTCTTACTAAATAATTTTAAGCTCACATTTTAAAGCACCAATTTTTAATTTTAACTTTAGTGATGGGAAAAACTTTCTTGATATGACAAATGTAATAAAACTAAACTAAACTTGCTATATTGATATGTAATAAAATTGTTCATGACCTTCACCCTAATACATATTGGGTCATACAAAAAGCCAACATACATTATAATTGTGTTTTGTCTTTCAGTTTGTCAGAAAAACTGAATCAGTTACAGAAACAAAGCCACGTTCCTCAACTCCTGACATCCTAAATAGTCCAACAACAACAACTGACATAATGACTCGGTCCATGTCACCAAAACCCACACATATGCAAGATTTAGTGCAAAGACCAGCCCTGACAACAGGCCAAGTGGTAGCTTTGATGGCAGATATGGATAAGTTGGTTGCCATGGTAAGATTATGTGCACTGGAATCAAACCATACCATATAAATTAAAAATTATAAAAATTTTAATTATTTCATGATTTATTTTCAGATTCCATTATTGTATGAAAATGAAATTAAGACAAAGCTTGTGTCTGTGGGACATGAAAACCCAGACTTGGTGAAAGGTAAGTTTTTTAGTTCTTTGGTCTTGTTGAATTGTGGAATTATGTAAGTAAATGTTTTTATGATTCCATTTAAAATAATTACAAAAACTTTTGATTTAAAAAAAAGTGTTTTAAACAATTATTCACAGTGATACTATCTGAAGAAATGAGTTCAGCTTGTGAATGTAGACCAAGGTTTTGGTCCATGGTCACTGAAGACATAATTAAGAGATGCAGTGTTTTCTTGAATCAGGTTAATGACATTCCTAGGCTCTACAGAAGAACTAACAAAGAGGTAAGCTACAGAAGTGACAATAAAACTAAGCATTTTAATTTTATTTTAGAAAGAAGTTTTCTTGAGGATATGATGGTCCATCTTATTATTTTTTTTACTATGGTTTTCGTTGCTAGTTGAAAAAAGCGGCGTGAAAACATAATGTATTGGATTTTATGACATTTTCACATCTCCTTATTAAATTATCTAATCCTTCAATTCCTTCAGCATAAACAAGTCATCAGTGTTAACTGTTTGAATATTTGTCTCACCAGGTTCCCACCAAACAGTCCACTTACCTGTCCAGTGTGATAAAACCCCTGACCCAGTTTTGTGCTGAGCATTCGAATGCGTTAAATCAGCAGCAGAAAGTGGAGTTCCTTGGTCATGTTTTCACCTCCCTTACCCAACAGTAAGTCAGTTTATGAGTCGGTCATGTTTTACCACCCCTCCCTGCAGTAAGTCAGTTCATGAGTTAGTCATGTTTTACCACCTCTCCCAGCTGTAAGTCAGTTTATTAATCAATTTTGTGCAGTGCTATTGTTTATTTAATGGAGAAAAAAAATAACTATGTTTAAATATTTAGATTTTCAGAAGTGACTTGTGAGGTTTTGACATCAACTAAAAAGATGGAAGAAAGTTTGAGACGGTTGAAAAAAGCAAGAGGAGGAGAGAAAGAAAAAGAAAAATCAGGTTTTAGTGACTCGGATAAAATCAGAACTCAGCTGATTATTGATATCAGAAGTTTCCATAAACAGGTACCTAATCATTACTAATTCTTAATTGCTTAATTTGTTAAAAATATGTTGTTGACCTGTTTTAATATAGACTTCTTTATAGTAGAAAATATATTTTATTGCAAGCAAATATACATTTTATTTTTAGATGGAAGACTTTGGAATTCAACCAGAAAATATTGAAGGCTACAGCAAGCTTTCCTCTTTAGCTGAAGATGCACAAGCTGACATCACTTCTTCTAGTTCTTGAACTGAACAGAATTGAATAATTGTTTTAAGAATGTTTTTTACTTAGTTTTTCTGTAAAAAAATGTTTTACACACCAACATGCAATCAAAGTTAAACCCAGATATAATGGTGGGTTGTATCAGTAATATTACTATGCACATTCATTCCTTGTTGTTAATATCTTAATGCTTTTCAAGTATCCCTTGATTTTCTCTGCCAGGGAAAAAGTTCCCTTTATTAAGTTTTGTATTTCATTTCACACTATAAGTTTTACATAGTTTAAAAAAAAACAACATTGCTATTACAAAACACTGTAAATATGTTAATATATTTATTAATGTATTATTGTTATACACTTCAAAATAATTAATATTTTCTAAATTGTAAATAATTTTTGCATTTTTAAACTTAATCTTCTTTATAATTAGCCTACATTAGATTAGTAATTAAACTATTAAAGTAAGTTAAAAAGAACAAAGATATCCTAGAAACTGTGGACTAGTGAATAAAAGTGGACGAGTACAATCTTGTTTTTTCCCTATTGATTTTCTTTAGTACTGCCAAAATAAACATTTCAAAAATTCTAATTTTAATGTGCCGATGTATCTTATGGCTTGGCTGAAAATTTAAAAAAAAAGCTATGAGGTTGTATTTAAAGTTCCATTTGGTCAAATGTGATTTGGTCAAATATGATGTGATATGGGCCATCTTTAAAAGCTATTAGTACCATGCCCAAAGCTGCAATTACAAATGTGATCCAATACATTTCTTTTATCTATTTATATTTTGTTTTTTTCTGTTGGGTTGCTTGCTGCTTCCATTTATGTATTAAACTGAAATGTGAATCATGCTCATGTATAATACAGTAAATGTCATTTTAATTTAGTAATTCAAAAACTTATGACAAATGTTTTCTGATTTAAAAAAAGTTATATTGTATTCAAAATGAGGGAAAGCTATAAAAATAAAGCTTAAAAAACAGGTTTTTCTTTTTCTTTTTTAAAACTTAACTAAAGATGTATGTACTTAATATAATCATATCATTATTTCTTTAGGTTCCTTGCCACCCTTCACTTTTCAAGCTCTGTCCTATCCTTTTAGCCTCCTCCATGTTTGCTTTGGTTGTCCTCTTTTCTCCTGAGGGTTCCGTTCCCAGACCTGTCTGGCTATGTTGTCAGTATCTTTTCTCAGCAAGTGACCAATTCAGCATCATTTTCTTTCTAGAATTTATACATAACATGGTAAACACTAATTTGATGAACACACAATAAATTTATATCCCAAATATTAAAACAAAGGGGGTCAGTGTGGTCGAGTCAATAAAGCTCATGGTTGCAAAACCGAAAAGTATCTAGTTCGAACCCTCAGACAGATGAGGCTCGTTAGCTGGTGACAGCCACTCTTCTAGGAGAGACAACTCCAAAATCAAACATCTGCTGCCTTGTAGTTTGTTCTTGGTTGGACAAAGGCTATGGAAGCAAATCCAAAAAGAAAAGCAGGCTGAAATCAGGGTCAATGGCCTCAATGATGCATAACCAGTTGACACATATACTTGTGTTGGAGGGGATGCCTTCCAACACTAAAATTAAGAACAAAGAAGAAAGAAAACAAAGTAAATATTTTAAAATTTTATATTAAAACAACTGAAAATTACCAGAAAGCAATATTTATGTAGCAGAAAACTTTATGAAAGTTTATTTTGCTTTCACATGTTTAACCATTTTAAAATGTCTAATTAATTTAATCCAGCTATTTATATATATATATATATATATATTTAAATGAATGGCAATATATTACTTGCAAGTAGGTAACTGCCACAAGACAAATGAACTCATATCATACCTTATTCATTATTGTCCAATTTTTATTTAATTTATCATTCTAAATATTCCCACAATCCAAAAAATATTTGAAACAAAAAAACGAATTTCTTATTTGATAAAATTAAACGGTAAATGTATAGGTTGCACATACTGCCTAAAAATATTTAAAACGTCCATCACCAAATTCATTTTTTCCTGAATAGAGTTAACCATGGATTATAAAAATCAAAATAAACCTATGTGCTCAATTCAAACATGAAAGCACCAACACGATAAATTTAATTTCTGTTAAGCAATCATTTGCAGTTTTCAAAACTTAACAAGTTTTCAAGCAGGAAGGCCCGGTACACTGAACATCTGTTTCTGTAATTGTTCAGCTGTTAGAGTTCCATGAATTCTTTCACAGTCTTTGTTGAATACAGAATAGGCACTTGGTCTATTATCTTTTGGGCCTGTTCTGGTATTGACATAAATAAACAACAAAACTGATATTGTAAAGAATACAGCACCAAATTGAAGTTCAACAAATAAGCCCCATAATGTAAGCCAAAGAAGGAATTTTAAAATCCTCAAAAGCCATTCAGTAGTAGAGGTCCTTTTGCTGAGTTCTGCCACAGAAACTATATCATCCACATCCTCAAGTTTGAATTTGCTTTTCTTTGATTCCAATTGGGCTTGTTTATCTGAATGTTCTAAAGAAATATTGCTGGGTTCTGGAGTAAGATCTTTTACCTGTAATTCAAAGTGAGTTGCAAAGAATTTATACCAAAGGACTCAAAAGAAATTTAATTTACTCAATTAATTTATTCTTTTAATTAAAAAAAGGCTCCTGTTGCTAAATTATAGTTTATGGTCTATGGAAATATTTATTCTACACTGCTTAAATGTGTTTCACACTTATAATATTTGCATATTAATAACAAAAGTAATTTAATTATACAATCAAGACTTTATATTAGGCTATAAATTTATAACTTGACTATGGGCCTAATTTTTAATAACAGTTTGTAAGTTTACATTTTTATCACAGAAAATGTAAAGAAAAATGGCAGTACTATGTCATGTGGTTTAAAAAAATTATTTTAAAAAAAAACAATTTTATCAGCAAAGTTTTGAGAACAAATTACTATAAAGTGGGGTTTTCGGAATATTGATCACAGATTCCCTGTACAGCCAATCAATGTTTGTCTTACAAAAGAGAAACTTCAGTTTATAACTTAGGTTTGATGAAATTAAATAAAAATTAATTAGAAATTAAACTAAAAAAATATATATTTACAAGTTCTCTGGATTTGCAACTTTTATAACACTGATTGTAAATATATTAAATTTCGGAATTATTTTCAAGCTTAAGTTATTTTTATTTTTTTATGGCTGCTCTGATGGCTAAATCTAAAAAAAAACGTTTTTTTTTATCCACGGGGGTCATCCATAATAAATGGTGTCACGATTTTTTTGATGATTATTACCTCCCCCCTCCCCTCCATCACACATCATCAGATAAAGCAAGACCCCCCCCCCCCCCCCCTAATTTGATGTGATACGTCAGCTTACAACCCCCCTCAAAATTGCAGTTGAATTTTTCTTAAAACAGCAATATTTTCCCCAAATCTTGTCTGAACTCTTGTTTGAAACAATTTTTAATAATTGATTAACCAATGGCAATAACCGTTGCTGTTGGCGTCTCAGTCTGTTGTTGATGAATATGTGTTGATGACTTGACTTAATGTTGTTTGTTACTGTTAGTGTGTGTTACACTACTACTAGATCTAGATCTAACTAACTTACAGTTTAATACAGTCATAGTAATACAGTGTCAGTACGCTGAGTACGGCGTGTTAGGCTAGAGCTTACGTAGTCTGTCTGCCTCGGGAAATAACCCAATAAGAAATAACAAATATGATTTAAATAAGCTACCTCCTTCCACCTAAATCTATGTGTCAAGTTATTTTTCAATTTAGAGATTAATGAGTTTTCAAACTGTTTTTCTTTTGCTTTCTTTGCTCTGTATTCTGCAAGTTTGGCTTCCATGTTGGTAAACATTAAATTTTTATATTTTTCTTCACACAAGAGGCCTACCAAAAATACAAAACATGGCCCTACATCCTCGGAAAAAGAAAGGTCCCAAAAAATGACGTCACGCTCTAGGAGAGGAAAAAAGCGTGGGGGGGGGGGGGGGGGGGGGGAATTGGTCATCGAACTTAGTGATGTGCGGAGTAACGGATAAAGGGGTGTGTGTTATTTTTTAAAATTTTCGTGACGACCTGTGATGATAAGAAGGGGTCGACAAATTGGTTAAAATTGTTGTCATTACAGATTACCGCTTAAAGAAAATTCCGTTAGGCCTATACTTCAGAGTTTCTTCCAGGCATCTTTTTTACCGCCCCCCCCCCCCCCGAACGAAATGAAATTTATATAATTTATATTTTTCGGGGGGGGGGCGGACACTAGTAAAAGTGTATGTTTACTATATAAATTCCATCTCGTTCGGGGGGGGGGGGAGGGGGTATGCCTGGAAGAAACTCTGCCCACTCTGAACAGTCCGTCTTCCTTTCACTAAGTGCTTCAGGTATCTTGAACCCAGATTCGTTTGAAGGCGTCCCTGGGTCAGTCTAGATCAGGGGTCTCCAAACTTTTCAGCCCGAGGGCCGCATTAACTATCAATTATCAGTTCGGGGGCCAGAGTTTCTTCAAGGCATCTCTTCGGGGTGGTGCCCCCCCACCCTGAAGAACTTCTAACCCCGCCCCCCTTCCCCCCCATAAGGAATTTTATTTATAAAAAAATATAAACAAATTTCAAGTGTCTCCCTCCCCCGAAGAAAAAAGTCTGAAAGAAACACTATCGGGGGACAACACACTCTATGGAGGTCATTTGCTTGCAATTCAATGACCTCCAGCTGCTGTTCATCTTTGTAACTGGCCACATTTGCATTATATGGGTTTTGAAATAGTCTCACTTCTGCATTTGAATCCAAGTCAGAAAACCGTTATTGAAACTGCACCTGGAGGTCTTGGATGATCTCGCATACAAATGACGTGGGGAACTCAGTGGTTGGTTTAGCCGTAAAGACCTTGCACTGCTGAAAGTGGGTCAAGTTGTCGGCCTGTACTTGTTCCAAAAATAAGACAAGTCTGGATCTAAAGGCCTTTAGGTGAACGTATAGATCAGATACTAGATTTCCCTCTCTTGTAGTTTGATGTTCAAAAAATTGTAATGACTAGTTATGTCTGCAGCAGAGACCAATTTATATACCTAATCTTCATCAGACATTAATGGCTGTGGCTTGCCTTTACTTTCCAGGAAGTCACCTATTTCTTTCCTTAACTTTAATACTCTGCTCAGAACTTTCTCGCAAATTAGCCATCTTACTGCTGTGAAATATGGCAAATCTTGCGATTCTGTGTTTGTAGCTTTCAACGTGTCTCTGAACTATCTATGGTTGGATATCCTCTCCCTTAACAGTGCCATATTTCTATGTAGGGAAGCCAGCTATTGTGTTATGTTCATGTCTTCATCCACACCTCTAATGAATACAAGAAGTTTAGAGGTGGAACAGCTGTCCAGCGACTCATCCATGGCAATTGAAAAATATCGAAACTCGCTTGCATTTCTCGCTATTTCAGTCACGATGTTTTCACCGATGGCTGCAACACGGTGGGCAATTTTATTTGCACCCAAAGGTACATTTTCAAATTGTTTTGAAATTTCTATGCAAAGTTCCTCAGCCACCTCTAACAAACATTTATTCAGTAGACAAAAAGATTGCCGCGGGCCGGATGAGAAGACCTCGCGGGCCGCATCCGGCCCGCGGGCCGTAGTTTGGAGACCCCTGGTCTAGATCGTATGAGTGCCTCACGTTAGGGAAAGTAAAAGAAGCTGGTCATATGTAGGCTTAACGACCACACTATTCATTCTACTGGTGTGGTGTGTGTCGTATTGGCCCGTCTATATGTGTGATGTGTGTCGTATTGGCCCAAGTCTACTGGTGTGGTGTGTTGGCCCAAGTCTACTGGTCTGGTGTGTGTCGTATTGGCCCAAGTACTGGTGTGATGTGTGTCGTATTGGCCCAAGTACTGGTGTGATGTGTGTCGTATTGGCCCAAGTACTGGTGTGATGTGTGTCGTATTGGCCCAAGTACTGGTGTGATGTGTGTCGTATTGGCCCAAGTACTGGTGTGATGTGTGTCGTATTGGCCCGCAGAGGCGTAGCGAGGGGGCTGGGCGGGGGGTGCGGACCGCACCGGGTGACACCATTTAGGGGGGTGACACCAAGGCAAAAAATAGCAAAATATATAGAGAAAAATTTTAGAGGGGGGGGGGGGGGGTTGCAAATCGAAAGTTTGAAAGTTTGTCCCCGGGAAGGGTCGCTACGCCTCTGGGGGTGGGGGGGGGGGGTGACACCATTAAGTGCCGCACCGGGTGACACCCGACCTCGTTACGCCACTGTTGGCCCGTCTACATATTTTTCGCAAGTCTAGGCTATAATTAAGTGTGTGGTTTGTGTGTAGCTACTCATGTTTGTACACGAGATGTCACGCGTGTCATATTTACCAAAGTTTACGGATGCACGATAGTTCATGTGTCATGTGTATCGAGATCCCCTTGAAGCGAAATAGTATATGTCATATTTACACACATCTGCAGCTGTTGCGATTGTTTGTCGTATTTATCCTAATTTGTGAGGAGGTGGGAGTCATGCGTCCAAATTTACCCAATTAAGTTTGTATGGTGTTTGTGTGTCATCTTTACTCGAGTCTATTCGTGATGTGACGTGTTGTTTGTCATTTTACCTGAGTCCTGTAGTGCGATGTTTTGTGTGTCGTGTTGGTCTCTAGTGTACTGTGATGTACGGCGTTTATTGTGTTGGGTATTCTAAGGCCTGTTTTTTTTTTAAAGCTGAGCTTGACTTGCCACTATGTGTAGTGCGGGTGAATGAAACTGTTTAACATGAACAGACTGGATGTACTTTTTAATGTACTGACATTTGACTTGATTCTTACGACTATGGGGAACGAAACAGCGCGTCAGAATAAAACCAAAGCATACCCCACTTAACCCCAGCCACCCACCGCCAGAATGAAACGACGTAGATGTTTTCACTAAGTCCACTGTTACTTTAAACCATCCTATTGAGCTCACCTTTCCTTATTGTTCTATAGAAATTGTGCAACCCATCAGCTTCTCATTCCTAGGAATACAATGTGCTGTTACTAATTAGAAAGTTAAAGGAAATAAAAAACAAAGATATTTTCATAATGTGAAATGTTGGGGATGTGAAATTTGGCAAGAATCGGGGTCAGATGTTGTATAATGGCCATGCTAACACACAATAAAGCTAAATGCGCTCGATCTCCCCATGCAAAAATTCTTGGGACTTGGTACGTCTATAAATAAATATGTAGGCCCTAATTGTTTGATTGGGGCAAAGTCATTAAATGTAACGTTTGTCAAGATTTGCGCAATGTAGAGTCCAAACATATATACCTACATATATAGTAAAGTCCTAATTATACGCTTACAGTCAATATGTGTTATGTTTTCATTCCATGCAATTTTTATAATTAGGTTTCATAAAGACATAATCCCACCATTAGCTACATCGATGCGGGTATTTTTAAAAAGTGTAATGAGATAATCTATGCGGCAGCCACCAAGAAGCGCCGAATCATCAGGATTAGACAACCGTGACAGTCATGTGATGCCAGGTCACGTCTGGTAAGACAGGGGACACAACTCCGACATTTTTGGTGGGGCGAGGCTATGCAATAATCCCACCACTGACGCTGTTAATTGTTCTGTCCTACCGTAAACCCGAACCAAACCGTTGCTATATTAAAGGCTGTTCTTTCTGCCGCTGAAATTGAAAATACGCCGTTAAAAACGTAACAGTTGTGCCGCCAGACCGCGGCCAATCGATAACACAATTAAAGTACAGCCGTGGGGAATCTCACCGCACTACCCCTGTCCGCTTAAATAAAAATAAACCTCTACCAACTAGTTTACACACCACACTGCCTTTCACCGTGTGTGTGTGTGTGTGTGTGTTCAGGCGTGCGAGTGTCACCAGATCTTTGGGAAGCATACAGCGTGACCTAGAGTGTTCAGGAAATATTCGCTGGTCCTGTCATTGGTGGGGCGCCTTTCTCCGGTCACAGGTAAGCACAGATTTGTTTTACCTGCACCATTGTTTGTTTATTAACTGGCTCGTAGAACATGTACACTCTGCTAAATAATACAATGGCGTTTTAGTTTTATCCAAAAGTTAAAAGGGTCGAGTTGGTAATGTCTGATTTGTGTTCATTTTTTTTTTTGTAACTAGAAAAAAAACACAACCTGCTCTATGGAAGTTGTTAAATTATCAGATCGTGTATAGACTGTTGTATGGTATCAGATCGTGTATAGACTGTTGTATCAGATCGTGTATAGACTGTTGTATGGTATCATATCGTGTATAGACTGTTGTATCAGATCGTGTATAGACTGTTGTATCAGATCGTGTATAGACTGTTGTATCAGATCGTGTATAGACTGTTGTATGGTATCAGATCGTGTATAGACTGTTGTATGGTATCAGATCGTGTATAGACTGTTGTATCAGATCGTGTATAGACTGTTGTATGGTATCATATCGTGTATAGACTGTTGTATCATATCGTGTATAGACTGTTGTATCAGATCGTGTATAGACTGTTGTATCAGATCGTGTATAGACTGTTGTATCAGATCGTGTATAGACTGTTGTATGGTATCAGATCGTGTATAGACTGTTGTATGGTATCAGATCGTGTATAGACTGTTGTATCAGATCGTGTATAGACTGTTGTATCAGATCGTGTATAGACTGTTGTATGGTATCAGATCGTGTATAGACTGTTGTATGGTATCAGATCGTGTATAGACTGTTGTATCAGATCGTGTATAGACTGTTGTATCAGATCGTGTATAGACTGTTGTATCAGATCGTGTATAGACTGTTGTATGGTATCAGATCGTGTATAGACTGTTGTATGGTATCAGATCGTGTATAGACTGTTGTATGGTATCAGATCGTGTATAGACTGTTGTATCATATAGTGTATCGACTGTTACATCAGATCGTGTGTAGATTGTTGTAGGGTTGGCTATTCACACATCATACAGCTAATGTAAACCAACCTGCGACCATTCTGTAACACTTACTCCTATGACGTATATTCGTCCTTCCTATTATATTATCAGTTTTTTTTAGTTCAGTGGAAATGATGTCGTTTGATTGATGTTTTTGTAGTTCAGTGGGAATGCCACATTTACGTGTAGAGACAACATACCAACTTTGTACCTTGCGGGTGGCTTGTAAAATTGAGTTTTTCTCAAAGTTTTCTTGTAGCTATCTTTCTCTGTTGTAGAGCAGCTTACATATACCTACATCACATTTTCGCTTGTTCGTTGATTCTACGTCAACCTACATGCATTACACCCATTCGTTACACATTGTTTACAGTGCAGATCCAGTCAAATCTCTTGACAAATATCATTATCAGTACAGTCCCTTGGTTTATTACCTCTAAACAAGGCATGGGCTAGTACTCGTCTTGTCACAAAAATCATGCCAACTCCCGCTTTCTTTCATTCAAATATTTTTCAGTCGAGAATATTTTAGTAGAATATTTGGCTATGACTATAAGGACTAGTGTGTGTGTGTGTTTGTGTGTACATTTTTGAATAATGTTAATTTGCTACTTAAATACCAACACAACACATACCTCTACTATTTGGAAGATTAACGGTTGTCTATGCTCTATGCTAGTCGCACCTGGCAATGTCGTAAATTCAATGCCACCAGCAAACAGATTTGTCTGTGTAAGTTTTTATTTAGTTCACAATGTCTCTCGGTTTTTTATTTGGTTTGTGGCAAATATTGTAACTTTGACCAGTGTTTTTTTTTCTAGACTTATTCTCCGGGGATGGGGGGGGGGGGGGGGGGGGGGACCGACACTGGTAACAGTATATATTTTCTATAGAAATTCTATTTCGTTCGGGGGGGGGGGGGGAAGAAAGGCTCTTGTATAACGTTTTTGTTATCGCGAGACTGCTGTCTAGCGTCACGTGACATTACTACACACATTGCTCACCCAACACACATGTAATGCTGTCGTGCTCACACAACACACATGTCATGTGCTCACCCAACCCATATGTGATGCTGTCGTGCTCACCCAACACACATGTCACGTGCTCACCCAACACACATGTCATGTGCTCACCCAACACACATGTCATGTCTTGCTCATCCAAAACACATGTGATGTTGTGCTCACCCAACACACATGTGATGCTGTCGTGCTCACCCAACACACATGTGATGTCGTACTCACCCAACACACATGTGATGTCGTACTCACCCAACACACATGTCATGTGCTCACCCAACACACATGTGATGCTGTCGTGCTCACCCAACACACATGTGATGCTGTCGTGCTCACCCAACACACACGTGATGCTGTCGTGCTCACCCAACACACATGTGATGCTGTCGTGCTCACCCAACACACACGTGCTGTTGTCGTACTCACCCAACACACATGTGATGCTGTCGTGCTCACCCAACACACATGTGATGCTGTCGTGCTCACCCAACACACATGTGATGTCGTACTCACCCAACACACATGTGATGTCGTACTCACCCAACACACATGTCATGTGCTCACCCAACACACATGTGATGCTGTCGTGCTCACCCAACATACATGTGATGCTGTCGTGCTCACCCAACACACATGTGATGCTGTCGTGCTCACCCAACACACATGTGATGTCGTACTCACCCAACACACATGTGATGCTGTCGTGCTCACCCAACACACATGTCATGTGCTCACCCAACACACACGTGATGCTGTCGTGCTCACCCAACACACATGTGATGTCGTACTCACCCAACACACATGTGATGCTGTCGTGCTCACCCAACACACATGTCATGTGCTCACCCAACACACACGTGATGCTGTCGTACTCACCCAACACACACGTGATGCTGTCGTGCTCACCCAACACACATGTGATGTTGTCGTGCTCATCCAACACACATGTGATGCTGTCGTGCTCACCCAACACACATGTCATGTGCTCACCCAACACACATGTCATGTCTTGCTCATCCAACACACATGTGATGTTGTGCTCACCCAACACACATGTGATGCTGTCGTGCTCACCCAACACACATGTGATGTCGTACTCACCCAACACACATGTGATGTCGTACTCACCCAACACACATGTCATGTGCTCACCCAACACACATGTGATGCTGTCGTGCTCACCCAACACACATGTGATGCTGTCGTGCTCACCCAACATACATATGATGCTGTCGTGCTCACCCAACACACATGTGATGCTGTCGTGCTCACCCAACACACACATGCTGTTGTCGTACTCACCCAACACACATGTGATGCTGTCGTGCTCACCCAACACACATGTGATGCTGTCGTGCTCACCCAACACACATGTGATGTCGTACTCACCCAACACACATGTGATGTCGTACTCACCCAACACACATGTCATGTGCTCACCCAACACACATGTGATGCTGTCGTGCTCACCCAACACACATGTGATGCTGTCGTGCTCACCCAACACACACGTGATGCTGTCGTACTCACCCAACACACATGTGATGCTGTCGTGCTCACCCAACACACATGTGATGCTGTCGTGCTCACCCAACACACATGTGATGCTGTCGTCCTCACCCAACACACATGTGATGCTGTCGTGCTCACCCAACACACATGTCATGTGCTCACCCAACACACATGTGATGCTGTCGTGCTCACCCAACACACATGTGATGCTGTCGTGCTCACCCAACACACATGTGATGTCGTACTCACCCAACACACATGTGATGCTGTCGTGCTCACCCAACACACATGTCATGTGCTCACCCAACACACACGTGATGCTGTCGTACTCACCCAACACACATGTGATGCTGTCGTACTCACCCAACACACATGTGATGCTGTCGTGCTCACCCAACACACATGTCATGTGCTCACCCAACACACATGTGATGCTGTCGTGCTCACCCAACACACATGTCATGTGCTCACCCAACACACATGTGATGCTGTCGTGCTCACCCAACACACATGTCATGTGCTCACCCAACCCATATGTGATGCTGTCGTGCTCACCCAACACACATGTCACGTGCTCACCCAACACACATGTGATGCTGTCGTGCTCACCCAACACACATGTCATGTGCTCACCCAACACACACGTGATGCTGTCGTACTCACCCAACACACACGTGATGCTGTCGTGCTCACCCAACACACATGTGATGTTGTCGTGCTATCCCAACACACATGTGATGTCGTACTCACCCAACACACATGTGATGTCGTACTCACCCAACACACATGTCATGTGCTCACCCAACACACATGTGATGCTGTCGTGCTCACCCAACACACATGTGATGCTGTCGTGCTCACCCAACACACACGTGATGCTGTCGTGCTCAACCAACACACATGTGATGCTGTCGTGCTCACCCAACACACACGTGCTGTTGTCGTACTCACCCAACACACATGTGATGCTGTCGTGCTCACCCAACACACATGTGATGCTGTCGTGCTCACCCAACACACATGTGATGCTGTCGTGCTCACCCAACACACATGTGATGCTGTCGTGCTCACCCAACACCAATGTGATGCTGTCGTACTCACCCAACACCAATGTGATGCTGTCGTGCTCACCCAACACACATGTGATGCTGTCGTGCTCACCCAACACACATGTGATGCTGTCGTGCTCACCCAACACACATGTGATGTCGTACTCACCCAACACACATGTGATGCTGTCGTGCTCACCCAACACACATGTGATGTCGTACTCACCCAACACACATGTGATGCTGTCGTGCTCACCCAACATACATATGATGCTGTCGTGCTCACCCAACACACATGTGATGCTGTCGTGCTCACCCAACACACACGTGCTGTTGTCGTACTCACCCAACACACATGTGATGCTGTCGTGCTCACCTAACACACATATGATGCTGTCGTGCTCACCCAACACACATGTGATGCTGTCGTGCTCACCCAACACACACGTGATGCTGTCGTACTCA